CCGATTCTACCCATAGGCACTGAGAGAGAGAGAGAGGAATGCTTTATTTTGAAAATAACTTTCAAAACTTTCAGCAAAAACGGTTCTCCAGTACACAGTGATTACCATAGAGATTAACAGGTATTGGACAGGTGGACATGATTATATATGGAGAAAAAAGGACTTTAAGGTGCAAGATCGAGTTTTAGTTTTTGTTTTTCAACATCTTTGCAGGTAAGATACCGGGCTAGAAATGGCAGTATGGAATTCCGATAGGCGGAAGTGCGACAAGGGATGTGGCGGAAGCATCGACGCATGGGGCATAAGGATTTCGCAGCCATTAACTCATTATGAAGGGGATGGACGGTGTCATTCAGAATTCGGTCAGCAAATTGCTCCACCGAGTTGAAGTGTCGCTGCACGATGATATCAACTAAAATATGATAGGGAACACCGGCAGCAGAGGCGAGCATTCGAATGACACGTTTAAAAATAATTAGATCTTTTTTAAGTAAAGTTGGAAAAATAACTGGAGAACAATAAAGAATGAGTGGAAGAATACAGCCATCTATGAATCGCCAGATTAAGGACTGGGGTGTGTGATATGAACGTAGACGACGAATATAATAAACAAGTTTTTGAATTTTTGTTAAAAGGGTTTCCATATGAAGAGAGAAAGAGAGATTTGAGGATAAAGTAACACCTAGGTACCGGAAAGAAGATACCTCATTGGGAAGAATATCCAAAGTTTCAGGAATGGGAGAGGGTCGCAATCGAAACACACACTGTACTGATTTCTGATTGTTGAGTAGGAGTCCATTATTCGAAGACCATGCGGAGACGTGATCTAAGCCATCCTTTATAGACTTCAAATGAGTCAGGTTTTGAGTGGGTAGCCTACGACCATCGGCATACTTAACATACAGGCAAGCGTTTGGCGATCTCAAATCATCAGTATGTAGGGAGAAAAGATGAGGGGATAAGATGGAACCTTGTAGAACTCCACAATTATTTGGAAAAATAGAAGATTTTCTCTTTCCCGACTGGACAAACTGAGTGTGGGAGGAAAAATAATCTCTAAGCCAAGAGACAACCCAGCTCGGAGTGTCGCACGCAGCTGCTTTGGTCAGGAGGAGTTGGCGCGGAATAGTGTTGAAGGCGGATGAGTAGTCGAGAAAAGCACATGCATATGCACGGCATCCCTTGTCTAAGTCTCTCAGAGCTGAATGAACAACTCAAGCAACAGCATCCAAGGTGCTACGCTTTGCCTTGTATGCAAATTGTAGAGGATCAGAAAAATTGACGGAGGCGTACTTAAGGGAATCTAATGCAACTCGTTCAGTAAGTTTCAGGAGTGCAGAAGAGCAAGCAATAGGACGGAAAGATTTAGGAGCAAAAGTTAAAGATTTTTTAGAGATTGGAGCAATTCTTACTGTACGCCAGGCGTCAGGAAACTTGGACTGTATGAAGGATAGATTAATAAGGTGGGTCAAGACGGGAGCTATCTGCGAACAGCAAGACTTAAGGAGAAAAGGAGAAACACCGTCCGGCCCAGCCGCCGTTGACCCGCGGGTCTTTTTGAGATGTTGTTCCACTGTTGTCACAGTCACAGGAGTAAAGTCACATGATGGTAGGTAAATTTTGTTTGGGCGAGAAGGGGAGTCGTTAGAAGTACAGATAAAATTCCGATTTAAAGAGTTTAAATCTACGCCAATGGGTTCAAGTATATTACGTTGACCAGTGAGACGCTTGAGATTCCTCCACAGTTCAGCAGAAGGAAAAGGAGAGGAGGGGGTGGATGAAGTAGAAAAAAGTTGACTAACGAATAAACCGTTAAGTCTGGCAATTTCATTTTTTATTAAAACATTGATATCCTTCACCTTGTCACGCTGACCTAGTTTGTAGAAGGCTTCTTTGCGACGTCTCAAGTGTTTGAGGTATGGTGAGGAGATTCTGTCAGGCCTGACCATAACAGTTTCACGGGGACAACAAATATCAAAAATGTGATTCAAAAATAGCGTAAGATAATTAGAGCATAATTCAGCATTTTGCAGTGCTAGAAAAGTTGGGATGGTACTAGTAATTGAACTCTGCAGTAAGTGGATCTTATCTACGGATGTGTCTCGAACAGTAATTTTCCTCTCGGGTTTTGTAAGCAGTTGACGCTAAGAGGTGGAATAGACTTTTGGAAGTCCTAGTAGCACTGAGTGATCAGACACGGAGAGTGGAGCTCTATTTTAATACAAAAAAGCATTGGGTAATGGATCAAGATGTGATCAAGAGGGGCATCAGCCCGTGTATTGAATGTAACAAGGTCATCAAAACCCAGAAGGGTAATGGGCCGGAAACTCACACGGTTAAAATCACCGCACAAAAGAATAAGATAGTCTGAGGATAATGAAGCAAGTTTTCTTATGAGGAAGTCAAAAAACGGCTCAGGGAGCCTTCGTTTGTGGAAGGGGGGATGTAAATACTGACAAATATGATACTTTTAAAGCTATTTAACAAATGGGGCTTACAGATAACAGCAATTACATCAATTAAATCACCAGAATATGAAAACAGGGGCTTACAATTTATACACCAGTCTTGATTGACAAAAATGGCCACTCCTCCACCTCTACTGCCTGTTGGAGATGCTCTATCATTTCGAAAACAACAAAATGTCGAAGGAGTGATAAGTTCCGAGTCAATATGGCTATTCAACCACGTCTCCTGAAGGCAAATTACTCCTGTTTTGCCATGTTTTTTGGTTGACAGAAGTAATTCCAAATCATGGGCTTTGTTAAATATCGATCGAAAGTTAGTCGAAAGAAAACCCGGGATTGACAACTTGTTTTTAGGCTGGCGTTTAAGCGCAACTTGCCATCCACAGCGATGTTGCTTTCGAAATATTGGCCTTTGCTGATACGAGCGTGGGAAGGCCAGCGAGGAAGGACGAGAAACAGGACAAGTTGTCAGAGTGTAACTGCTGCTGGCACGGTGAGTTCGTTGCGTTTGGGAGCGTGAGAACGCCAACGCAGGAAAATCGCAGAAACGACAAATTGGCCGCAAAGTGCAACCACTAGAGTCATGATCAGGAGGCGGAAAAATCGATGCAGAAATTTCGCAGGGTTTAAGCTCCTTTAAAAAGGTGCTAGCGTACTGTAAAGACAACCTCATAGGAATAGATCAATTAAAACAAAGGAATAAGACTGGGGTATGTAATTAATAAATATTCATGTGACTGGAGAGAAAAAACAAAAAATGGCGGCTCAATTTCAAAAGCCCGCAAACAGTACGATTTCCCTGGCAATTACCGCAGGTCGTGTGTGAGGGTGAGTACGGACAGGGTTAGACTGTATGGGCCATTGCTTTGGCCTCTTCTAGACGAGGATTGTGTAGGCATTGAAACACATTTACTATTGTCCACGAGATTGTACGGTACATTGCTATCCTGGTGGCTGTTGTCTGAAGATATAGTGAATGTGCTATCTCATGAAATGTGTTTTTGACTTGCAAAGATTAACTAGGCAGGGTTGTGATAGTAGTAACCGTACAACACAATCCAGAACATTTATTTCACGTGACGATGCCGACTTCTGAACGAACTCTCTTCCAGTCGCCTGAAAATGCTTCCCTCTGTAGAGAGCGACAACTTACGTAGTATACATCTTTATTATTGACTTTCGATCCCCTCACAAATTCCAGTATATTTTACGGGAAAAATGCGGAAAAACACCCGTCATTTCACTCATTTAGTAGGAAATTGCGTTTTCATTAAATTTTATACTTAATGGAAGAGTATCTTCCGATTGTTAGACAGTTTCTAGCTAGGAGATCCTTTAAAACCAGAAAGTGTCGACTCATAAAACATCATTCAACATTTAGTTATGCTACTTACAAAGTTACGGTATGTTCCCAACCCACCGCAAAAGTTTACGGAACCCAAGCATACAGACATGCATGACTCTCTTTATACGGAAAATATACCAGTTGTAGTTTTGAAACAATAAATGAAAGTGCACCAGCAAGTCGTGTCCAAAGTTGCCCGAAAATTCCGCTGTATGATCATTAATAATACAACACCGCGTGATCAGTCTTTTCAAATCAAAAATGCATTTTAGAATTTCAACTGACATTTCATGTGCGTGTAATATCTGTCTGCCAGCTCATCCCCCAAAGTAACAAAGTCAGATGAATAGTCCATAAATTTGCCGTTTGCTTACCAGACTTATACACCACATCGTCTATTTTCCAACCACCTTCGTCTACAGTCTTCGTAACCCGAATTCTTAATGCATTCGTAATGCAAAGTTGACTGAACAAACTAAGCAGAAGGATTGAGCGATAGAAGTGATTGTCCACAGGTGCAGAATCGCGTAAGCAGCAGAGGGGCGTGCAGTCTTTACACGGATGAGCACGGACCACAAAAAAAGGATGGAGGCAAGTCAGCACGATGACCCTAAAGCACGACTGGCCCATGAGAAGACATCACGTAATTATCTTAGCTTATCGAGAAAAAAGTACACCGACTCTATTCAGAATGTTATTTGGGTTATCACAGAAAAACCTAATAGACGGTATGAATGTCTTTCTCATCCGATTGCATTTTCAATAAAATAGTGGCAGTCCAGATATCGATTTAGTCGAAAACTAAAAAGCGAGTAGGAGCCCAAATGAGCATTTGATGCTTAAAAAATCTTGAATTTTACATGTATGGGGATCATTCACACCTATTAGTTCCTCGTGTTGCCAGCAGTATTACTCATTATTCCTCTTCCCACGTAGATCGGGGGGATTTGGAAAATGGAGGCACAAAGTACTACAATCTGTGAATTAAGCCCATATTTTGTGGAATTCGAAATGCATTTTTGCAAAATAAATTTATTTCTTTCGTTGTCATCGTTTTCATCTTCATCGTGCTTTTGTTTTATCGAACCACGTTTAAATTATTACTTGGTCTATCAGCTGTACACCTTCGTTTGTAATCTGGGACGTGCTGCTTACAACTCACTGCTTCGGTTTCACTCAGGTAGAAAATGGATGCAGATCTCTACGATGAATTCGGAAACTACATTGGGCCAAACATAATTTCGGATGAAGAAGAAGTTGAGGATGACAGTGCCGGTGAGGATGATGGCGGTGGTGAAGAGATCTCTGAACAAGCAATCGATAACATCGAGAAGCCCGATGAATCCCTCGCCGTATGTTCCTTTCCCCGAAAGACATCGCTTCTCAAATATCCATTTTACTTGAGTCTCTGATACTAATTTGCGATTTCTGGGTTTCAACTGCGTTTTCCGGTAAACATGTCGAACGTCATTGCACGTACATGCCAAATTTAGCATGCACGTTATACCCGCCCAGGGCTAGCCCGGTCGCGGCTAGTGTTGCGATTGACCGGATTTTTTCAGCAATTCTAGCAGACACTGTCCACATGGGGACGACAATTTGACGCGCTGTCTCGGGTGAATTGAGGGCGCTGTCGCCCTAGGCGATTTAAGTTGCCAGACAGGCGCCTAGAATTCCTGACAAAGTGTGACGTGTACCCCTGCAAGCGTACGCACACACAAAGGGACCCCCCGTGTGTGACTTTCAAAATGCACTCGAGTAAATATCAAGGAGGGGTGTGGCAGAAAAGCTCCTTTCCTCGCACAGATCGAGCACCGTCAGCCAATCAAGTTACCAACCCTGCACTAGCCCGCAAATAAAACGGGCTAACAAATGCCTAACCCTGGGAGACTGGATGCTATCAAGGAATAATATTACGTTAGTTACTGAGCGGCCGTGTTCTAGCAGCTCCAGGTCTTCTTGTGAGTGCATGACTAATTATCTTATCAACTGAGTCGCGACCCTCTGCGCGAGTAACGTTTCATTGATGTGAAATTCCCAGACACTCCGTAGCGACCTGCTCGCCAAATCCCCTAATCAGACGGTGGGACACCTGCTGAGTCTGTCAACATTCGGCCGCGCCCGAAATGCGTCGCAACATCAATACGATGCCTCCGTTTGTGCCGAGAACTTTAACCTTGTGAGACGAGCTGGGAACAGCGCGGTTAACCGATGTGTGGGCGCGTTATTAAGGCCTTTGACGTCACTCATGCGAACGTACTAGTGGATGGACTGAGCATATCGGACACTAACAAGAGTCAGACAGTCACAAATCTGGCCGTACATATACCGCCTGATCCAAATGCCACTATTTTGTCAGTATAAACTGACGGGCTTTCTTCTAGTCAAGTCGGTTTTATCGTTGCGACGTTACAATTTCTTAGTTTGCTCCATATCGGCAGCTAAACCCTAAGTACTAACATGAGTAATATCAACAGATAAGATCACAGATCCTCAGTGTCAACCTATTTACTGCGTCCGAACAGCCTAAAAAGCGAAAAAATTTGGGCATGAGAAAGCTGTAAGGGACACACTTTGTGCGAGCGCTGAGAGCTAAGAACGAGAGTCGTTTTGCGTCACTTTTTATGGTACTAGCTCGTGGTTGCCATGTCTCGCTGTCAAATGCTGGTATAGTCTGGTGCGTGTCCTGAAGATATCAGCTCTGCTTATCTGTTGGGCGTCGCCTGGACAATAAGTGATGTCCCTGTCGATTGAATGCTGTGGATTCTTGTTCAGTTCGGTCCAATGCATCATTCTCTACTGTACGTTTGAGCAAAGGGCCTGTCCGAGGCAATTTAACTTATCCGTCTCCTCTAATCACCAGCCACATCTGGCATTCGAGTACCAGGTGACACACGCATCCACAGGCTTTGCTGAAACAAGTACATTACCGATACCAATGTCTAGCCTCCCTACAGACATTAAAACAACTTGCTACAGTTGCCAATGGTCTGCGTTGTAGTCCAGCTCCCACCTGTTTCTTTCTAGGTCCGCCATACTCCAAGATTCCCCCAGGAACTGAAATAAAACAAACTGTATGAACTGTCTTAGTCAGTTGGGACGTCAAAATGTCCTCACCTGTCGGTAGGTTTGGGCATGGCGTCGAATATTATGGGAATTTCAGTTGATTTAGCATTCTTATGTGAAGCCAACCGCAAGGCATTTTATCAAGCGCTATTACAATACTGACAATATTACTACCACGAACTGTCCAAGAGTGCCTCGCCACGTAAGAATATGAGAAATTCAGTCCCGTCTAAGAGCAAATCCACCACAATTTAACGGCATGTGCACGTGGTTCAGTCCTACAGCGCGTTACCGATCTCATGAAATGTTGGCAGAGATTCTGAAATGCGTTTTCGACCAGCAAGGATAAATAAAGTGGCGTTGTAATATTAATGCTCATGTAGCTTAGTCCTATAGTACTTCGGACTCGCCAGAATGTCGGCTTTTAAATGCACTTCTTTCTGACCTACAGAAACAGTGCTAAGTAAAAGTTGACTACTTAAGTAGCATGCATTTGTCACAATGATTTTCGATGGTCTTTAAAATTCAAAGTTATTTTATAAGAAAACATGCACAAAAATATGCTTTCTTTTGCTCGTTTGGTGGAAAATAACATTTTTCTTACATTTTATGTCCGAAGAAAGTGCGTATTTGGGTTTTAAAGTGTCCCAATTCTCGAATAATTTTGAGCCAGATCAGCCGTTACGGTAGGGTTTGACGTTTTCAGTCTACAAGCTGCATGCGTTTCGCGTAAGGAAAATCATATATTCCCCTATGCTTTTAAGAAGCTACTGTATAGGGTTCATAACATTTTGCAATGGATATGGACTGTGTTGTACATTTCACGAGGAACATTCGTAAACGGACACGTGCGACGTTGTATATATGGACATAGCACGGTCTTGAAAACCTCATAATTAGAAACTTTTTTAAAACCGAGTAATAACCTTCCTTAGGGTATTAAATTAAAGATAATGTGGTTTTCTACCAAAAAGAAAAAGAAAGCATATTTTTGTGCATGTTTTTATTATAAAATAACTTTGAATTTGTAAGACCATCAGAAATCAATTTGAAAAATGCATGCTAATTAAGAAGCCATTTTTACCTAGTACTGTTTCTTCGGGAGGTCAGAAAGAAGTGCGTTCAAAAGCCGACTTCCTGTCAAGTCCAACATCCTATAGGATTTTACTTCATGTTAATTAATATTACAACGCCACCTTATTGATCCTTCCTAGTGGAAAACAAATTTCAGAATTTCGACCAACATTTAATGAGATTGGTCACGCACTGTACGACTCAGTAGAGTTCCTTGAATATGGTCCTCGCGTATCCTTCTTTTAAGACTTGGATTGCATCGGTGGTTTCCGCTCCTTCAGCATAACACTTTCCTTTTGTAGGTTATCCTGCATGAAGACAAAAAGTACTACCCTAGTGCAATGGAAGTCTATGGTCCAGAGGTGGAGACACTGGTCCAAGAAGAGGATACACAACCACTGACGCAACCTCTTATTGAACCAATTAAACGAAAGCATTTCGCCTACTCAGAATTCTCTCTCCCTGAGACGACTTACGATCCCGAATACCTGGCCGACCTTATGGACTGCCCTGAGCTCATCCGTAACATCGCTTTTTGTGGTCATTTGCATCATGGAAAAGTAAGGATTCTTTTACCTTCATTGTGTCATCCTCTCCGGTGTGATAGACTTCATTTTTGGATTGTCTGATCGAGCAAACGCACCCCAATACTGTGGCGAAGGAAGACAAAGATGTGAGTCGAGTTTTAGAGAACTAAACCTTTAATTTAGTTGCGGTACACTGACTACCTGAAGATCGAAGTGGAGCGCGGCCTAAGCATAAAATCAACACCAATGACTCTGGTATTGCCTGATATCAGGAACAAATCTTACCTGTTAAATATCTTTGATACACCAGGTAATTTAGTAGTTGCATTATGTCGTGTTTTTATGTTTTAAACCGTGCCTGTCTAACTTTCATTTGTACCGTAGGGCACGTTAACTTTTCTGACGAGGTCACAGCGGCCTTTCGCATATGTGACGCAGTTTGTCTCTTCGTCGACGTCAGCGAAGGCATCCTGTTAAATACTGACCGTCTCTTGAAACACGCCCTTCAAGAGCGCCTTCCCATCCTTCTTTGTCTGAATAAGATTGATCGGCTCATTTTGGAACTGAAACTTCCGCCCACGGATGCCTACTACAAAATTAAGAATATTATCGACGAGGTCAACTCCCTTATTATCACCTACGCTGAAGGCATCGGTAAGTTCCACTTTGTCATGCCACGTTACGCGTTTAAGTAACCAAAGTAATTTACTGTAAAGACATTCCAAGTCCCTCTAACTGTCCTCTGAGCCCTTATCACTTTTATCCTCAATCGTAAGATCACCGTCTCAATGATAGTTCGACTGTCGTGCTCGACGATGTCCACCGTGCACTCCAGAGCAAGGAGGAGCAAGCACAGTGACTTGTGTGTGGGTTAGTTTATAGTGAGTGTAGACTTTCGCAACATCTGCCGCACCCCCTCCTCCTCCTCCCCTCCTGGCCTCGGTGTCAAGACATAGTCAAGAGGACCAGAGGCGGGATAGGACGCGAGTGGCTGGCACGGCCGGACCCGCAACTGGTCGTACACCCACACTCCCTGATCTGCAACAACCATTTGAGCAGGATTTTAACCGACAACAACAACACGGCAACGGATCAGAAAGACTAGAATTACTTGGGAGTCATGCTCACGAGCTGCATACCCAGCCGGAGCGCATGCGCATATACCGACACGAGGCCAGGCGCCAGAGAACTGCCAGCACACACCGGGCTGCAATGGCCATAGTTTGCTGATCATGGCATGGCAGATGCGTATATACCTTGAGGTCACCGTCTCCGTACTCAAGGTCATGCTCGCGGGACTTGCTGTCTACCGGACAATTCTAAGCTGAAATAAATTGTTAGGGCGCAATTGAACCTAGAGAAACCGATATTTGTCATAGTTCTTTATTATAGATTGAGCGGTGCTAGTACTATGCAACTGGAAAGTCGAATCTTCTCCGAATGCTCAGTGGTTAGGCAAGAGTGTCATGTCATAGCATGACGAGCCTCCATACCTAAATGTAACCCTGTGAAACGCGCTTTACCGTCGTGCTTTTCTCGTACTTTTCGCAGCTGTCGAAAGTCATCAAGACTATTTCGCTGTCTGCGTGCATAGAGTGCTGGTGTATTTCATTAATACTGTATGATTACCACTTGATTCCCATGATATCCCTGACTTCGGTGTTGAAGGCAGCGGGCTTGTACACTTTGTGTTTGTTAGGATCAGATTTCCGTTTCACTTACCAATATTGTAAACTCTTCATATGCGCCTCAGAACTTCGTAATTATTTGTGACTACACGACTTTCGAATCCTCCTACCCTTCCCTCTCGTTGACAGATAGCAAAATATATTTAACTTAGTAACCTAGTCTGACTAGTCCTTATAACATTCCACGCTCTCCTATCGATTCGGTTTCACCCCGAGCTAACATTATTTACTCCCATAGATGCGGTGCGCATTCTCTAAGTATGTGTGTTGATAGCGATCAGGTCTGCTGGGAGCACTTAGCTGCGTTAATAAGTACATTCTCCTTTGTCAGGAAGCTCCCCCGAACCTCAACACATTGTCAGCCCCCTCCTGGGTAACGTTTGCTTCGCCAGCTCCTACTACCGATTTTGTTTTACCCTCGAGTCCTTTGCCAAGATCTACGCCGACACCTTCCCCTCAGTAGACTACAAGGTCCTTGCCAAGAAACTGTGGGGTGACCAGTACTTTAACTCAGAAACGTGAGTCTTCGTGTGTATATCTCCATGTCTTACTGCCTCTCGTTTGCGATCCATAGGTCTTCTTTGGTGGTTGTCTTTGTCATTAAATTATTTGAATGCTCGGCTCGACTGAACTGGGATATTTGTTGCGTCTCCGAAGTAGATGATAATCTCGTATTTTTTCGGGATTACGCCACACCGATAAACACAATACGCAGGAGGCCCTACGAAATGCCCTCGATAGCAGCCAACAGAGCGTCTTGGCTTGACATTTTATTTTAAGCCTACTTGGACGAGATTAAATATCAGGCCCGCCCTGCTGACAACCGCAGGCAAACCATCAGGGGTTTGTCTGACAACTAAAACTGTTTTCACTGGTCTGCCAGATTGTTTATATTCCCTGACAAATTTCGACCATTCGTAATTTTCAACTCCTTTTATTTTCCGTTTTGACCATTACGGGTTGTACTATATATTCGCATACTCTTATAAAGGCGCTCATCACAAGAATGGTTCACCAGTCTTCATGGTGCATTTTTGCCGCGTCTCAGATAATCTCTTTCCATAGCAGTCGATCGAACACTCCCAGGTGGAATATACTGTTTGCACAGAAGGGTGTATATGGCTGAGCAACCCGAACTTATCACTTTTGACGTAAAAGAATATTTTCAGGTTTACGCCGGCTGCCTTTCCGCCAGCGCGCTTTATGTCCGCGAAGGCGCTCACTAACACTGTGTTGTTGGCGATACAGTAGAAATCAGTAGTCGTCTGACCACAGCTGATTGTGCAGCCAGTTTGGTACGCCAGAACGTTTTTACGAACCGAGTCTATTGTCTGGTTGAGCATTAGTGGCGAAAACCGACTTCCCCAAGGACTGTCAAAAGTAGCATCGAATAGTCCACCCGACAGCTTAACCGTCGTGCCCGACGACGTCCGCCGTGGAGCAGGCACAATCACTTGCATGTGAATTAGTTTATAGTGAGAGTAGACTTGCGCAGCATCTGCCGCACCCTATTCTCCTCCCCACCTGGGTCTGGGGTCAAGACAAAGTCAAGAAGACCGGAGACGGGGGAAGGCGCAGGTGGATGGTGCAGCCGACCCCGCACCTTGGCGCTCCACTCAACACCCCTGGTCCACATAACAAATGACCGAGATTTTAACCAACAACAGTAACACCACAACATATCAAAAAGACGAGGATGACTGAACAGCCATAATCACGATCTGTGTACTCAGCGGGAGCGCGAGCGCATCTACCGGCAGGCAACCAGTTGTCAGAGAACTGCCAACGTGTACTGTAGTAGTTAGGACCGTAGCAAGCACACGAGATGGAGAGGACGAACGAATATGGCTGTAAGAGTCAGAACGAGAATACCCTATAACAGGGCTTTATTCATCTTACAATTGACGTACTGGGACTGAAAAGAGAAATAGAAAAGTAGTAGGTAAGGTGGAATTTAGCCCGGGGCTTATGTTAGCATGACATGTACCAGGCCGCGAGGGCAATGGTTTGCTGATCCTGGCATAGCAGACGCTTGCAGGCCTGGCGAGCACGTCTTTATGCTAAATTTGGACCGAATTCCGTAATTTCGGTAGCATGCCTCTATGAATTAGGAGTAGACACAATCCACTTAGATGGGGTTGAACTTGGTGAATAAATTCTTGAATCATGCAGCAGTGGACTTTAGGTACTAGTGGTACGATAATTTACGAACCGAAGTGTCTATGGATGGAAGCGAATATGCGAATCCCAGGTTCTTGTCGTAAAGAAGATGAACACGCGATCTCTGGGACAATACGTGTGTTAGTCTGACTAATACACGTACTGTCCCAGAGATCGCGTGTTCATCTTCTTTACACGAAGCGATTATATGTGTAACCGCGCTCCAGCCGAAAAACGCGCTGATTCTGTCGTGGGCGTATGCCATGACGTAAAAAAAGATTATCCGAAGACGACCGTATAAGCTTAAGAAGCCACTGCCGCCCATGTTCAGACATAATGTTTCGTTGCGTTTCATTAAGATCGGCAAAGTCGCAGTGCCACTCCAACTTGATGGGGAGACTTGCATTCTCTGAATTCAGGTCAAAATTCCTTGCAAGCGATCAGCTGCAAATGTTTGGCAGCGTTTTCAGCTCTCTGACGGTATTAATCAGGAGCTTTGGTATTTTACGGTTTTGTTACTGCATCCTGCATCTCCAGAGCAATTGTTAGGCCACAATCCCAGTTATACTCAGGGTCTAAGACGTCCTCAAACTAGACAGCCTCCGAGGGAGCCCAACTTCGTCCTGTCCAAATTCCTTTTCTGCCTTGACTCCCTCCCATTTTTACGGAATTACATCCTTTGATTTTCAAGACCCATTTTACCATAAATTGTCTGAATCGGGAAATTTAAGACAGACCGTGTGAAGGTGCCGTTGCAGCCGCGAGACCGACGAGTATACACTACTGGCACGATTTTTTTGGTGCTTGAAATGTTGACGTTACTCTCCCATATAGCGTCTTGAGGTATTTGCCAATCATGCAATTTTAGCGATTTTTCTGTCGTTTTCTGACTCTTGGATAGTCGGACCTTCAAGACAAAACCGCCCAGCGTGTCGTCCGTCCGCAGTTTCGTGGAATTCATTCTGGAGCCGATTTACAAGATTTTTGCCCAGGCCGTAGGTGACGTGGACACCTGCCTTCCTAGTCTGTGTGCCGAACTTGGCATCCATCTTTCTCGGTCAGAAACGAAGCTGAACGTTCGCCCGCTTCTACGTATTATTTTCCGCCGATTTTTCGGGGACTTCTCAGGTTTGTATTCCATCCCTTTTTCCTGCTTATTTTGTCTGTATACTATATGATTTACCACCAGGAACTCCGAAAATCCTACGTCTGAAAACTGTCCTGATGAGGATTAACCGATTCCAGGAGTGTTGGGATGCCAAAATGTTCTCCCAAATAAATCCCTCAAGACGCTTTGTCTACCTTGAAACTCCTTCAATCGTGTCGAACTTTTCTGATTTCACCTTACCCATTTGTCATCAGGACCGATGTGGTTGGTGGTGCATTCAATGGCGTCGAAGTTCAATGTGGCCCACTCGTTTTCCGTCATATAATTGTGTGCTTTGCTTCGACTCCTTCAAGTTGGTAACGGTGCCGCGTCAAAGGCAGCAGCACTAAGCTCGTGAGGTGGACGATAAACAATGTGTCCAGACCATCGCAGTCGTATTTCTTGGTGGGCCTGGGATATCCTTGTGGTGTTGTCGTAGGAAGTGCGGACTGTCTCCGAGACGAATTCGGTGTGCTTCATCCGGAGGATAGTCCTCAAACAGTGGTGGTCAAATACCTCCAGTTTTCGCTCATCTTCCACGCGCACAGCCCGGCATTCACAACTGTGCGGGGGATCTGACCGGACGGATGCACGATATATGCGAATCTTTGTGGTGATTGAGATGTCGCGTCGGGCAGCATCGATCGGGGAGACGATGTCGTCCTTACTCTGTCCATTCGACATCAGCCATGCCCTGAGGGATTTTAAACTGTCTACATCTTCAAGTCGACAGCCATTAATCTCGAGAGCTGTCTTCTCCTGTTCAGGGATGCAGCCTGAAAACACTTTGGTTTTTCCAGTGTTTATGGATAAACCGACCGATTTAGCGACCTCGTTCGCCCGTGACATCATAGAGCGTAGATCACCAAAGCTTGAAGCTGGTAAGGCACTATCATCAATGTAGTCAGGATCAGTGACAAGTCCTGACGCTTATTGTTTTATTGTAGCGAACTATCTACAGATTAACAACTCTGGCATTGTTATTGCAATGTAATTGTAATGCAATGCATTGTAATGCAATGTAATTGCTTACCTGACCTTGGATCTGCACATGTCCAAGAGGACCACAAAATTTTCCCCTCGGTTGACCACCAGTAGTTTGAAAAGTCGATATCCGTTCCACTAGCGGCAGCTCAAACTCGTCGGTTCCCGCGGTTGCTGTCGCACGGATCGTCTTCGGTGTGCTTTAGTACCTCGTAACAAATGAAAAAGTTACGTTACAGGTGAGGCTACCAGTCCTTCTCGCTCCCTTGGTGGAGGTTAGCAAAGCCTTATTTGGTGGCACACAAAAATCGTCGTAGCATCGCTCTAGTTCTTGGCTTCAGTAGATCGTTGTTCTGCGAGATTGATGACCAACCTCGCACTTCAGACACGAACGACTGTTAATTTCGAATCTAGCCTTCGGTGGAGGCCGTTGGAGATATGCCATGGATTTGGCATCTTTCGATCAACTTTAGAGTCACTTTAACCGCCGTCTTGTTTGAGAACTTCCCTGTATACAGGCTTGAGCTTGTTCCATCGCCCTTAATCCATCGTCAATTTGGGCTGAGCAAGAACCTGGACCAGTGTGCTTTATACCGCTTTCATAGCTCCCTTCTCCCGGCGTTCTGGACATTTATACAACGCCGTCGCCTACTGCTCATCTTTTTTCCGCTTTCAATCCCACCACAGGCTTTGTCTCCATGTGCGTGAACCACGTGCCCAGTCCAGTGGCGGCAGCCGCCACCAAGGTGGAGCACGTATACACGGGCACACTTGACTCTGCCATCGCACAGGACATGATCAACTGCTGCATGGATTCACCCCACCTCATGGTGCACACTACCAAACTATACCCCGACTCTGAGGCCGCCTCCTTCCACGCCTTTGGACGCGTCATGTCGGGCAGACTAATGGCTGGCCAGGAGGTGAACGTCCTCGGCGAGTCCTACTCTCTCGCTGACGAAGAGGACTCCCGTCCGGCCACTGTGGGCAGGCTCTGGGTCCTCTGCGCGCGGTGAGTGAAACCCGACTCCTTCCTTGCCTAGCTCCATTTTGGCACTGCATCAAACACACGACCATGGGACTCATCCGAAATCCCCAGCATCATTTCCCACATTGTTTGTCGGCCTAACCCATCACCCATTTTAGTCAGTATAGGATATCAAGAATCTTGTGAAGAAGTACAAACTCTTGAGTATGCATTCAAGTAAGAAATATTGTTTAATAGGGGTGCCTGTAATGGCAGACAAGAAGCGTAACTGTAGGCCGCCTCCTACGTCACGGTCTCTTAATTTTCGTTTAAGAATTCTGCAGACACCATTGTCCATTTTGCGAAAAAATCACCACTTACAATAGGTGGGCTAACTCATGAAATGTCAACCGCAATTCCGAAATGCCTTTTCGTTTCGAACAGATTAAGTAAGTAGAGTTGTAAAACTAATCATCGTGCAGCATAATTCGATAATAATTCAGTTACCTCAGAATGCCGGCTTTCAAACGAGCTTCTATCCGGCTGCATGCAAAAACATATTCTGCAAAAAGGCTACTTAAGTAGCCAGCATTTTTCTCATCGAAGTTCGATGCCCTTAAAAATTCAAGCATACTTCACGGAAAACATGCATAAAATATCCATTCTTTTGCTCATTCGGTAGAAGATTACGTCTTCTTCTAATTTAATACTCGAAGGAAGGGTATAATTCAGTTTTCAAAAACTTTCCCAATTCCCGAATAACTTCAAACCCGACCTGCTGTTGCAATTGCATTCAGGGTTTCCAAACTACAGACCATATATTTTCCACGTACGGATTAAGAGGAGACCATATGGGGTCCATAAAATTTAGCAGTGAATTTGGGCCATATTGTTAACTTTAAAAGACACATCGGTAAATGCAGAGACATGACGTTTTATGAGCGGCCATTTCACGGTCTTAAAAAATCTCACAATTAGAAACTATCTTGAAACCGAATTACCCCCCTTTCTTTGGGTATAAAGTTGGAGGAAGACGTAATTTTCTTCCGAATGAGCAAAAGAATGAATTTTTTAGTTGCGAACATTCCCATTGGACAATTTAAAAGACAATTTGGCGAGCATACGTAAGCTTTCGATAAATTCTCATCAGGTCTATACATTTATATTGCTGTCGAAATGATCAAAAGGAAAATGCAGACAAGCAGAAGTTATTCAGTAGTTGGGGTTTGGGGGGAGGCTCTGGGTGGGTGATTGAAAAACAAATTTACCGTCAGGGTCAGGGGGGAGAAGGGGATGGTAGGCACTGGGCGGGGAAATTACACACAGGTGGCTGGCATGGTGGCTTTGGACCATGGTAACTGTGGGGCCTATACGAAGTTCTTTTGTGCGCTTAGAGCTGGTTTGTATAGCCTGATTGCAGCCGCCTCTGCTGTTGCCAACAGACGCTGTCCAAGTGATTTTGGATAGGCTGACGGGACCTTTTAAGCCACTCGGAATGCCTGTCCGGCATCTACACAGTGATCTGTGTCTACCATGTGGACGAGGATAGAGCTGTTGACGTTCTTTATTTGGCCATTTCCTAACCATGCTGGAAGGTGTTCCCTTATTCTTTTGGACAAACACCGGCTCGTGCGACCAATATATTCTGCCCCACAGGAGCAGGTGAAGGAGTAAATACGGTTTGGGTTAGCAATTTGTCTTTGACCTCTCCGTGTAGGATGGGGCTAGTGGAGAAGAGTACACGGGTATCAACTGCTGGGAAGGTGCGTGACACAGCTTGACTTATGCGCCTTCTTAGAAGTTCACTTGGCGCGTCCCCTTGAAACGGTATCCTGATGAAAAGCTTCTTCTTTTCTGCCGTCAGCATCAGGGCTTTGGTGGTCTTTCAATCATGTACCTGGCAATGAATCGATCGGGGTACCCGTTCTGGCGAAAGAGATTTTCGACAATCTTAAGTTCTTCCCCAATGCTATCAGCCGAGGATATCCTCCTTACTCTTTGTGTTAAACAACGGACTAAATTACGCTTCATGTTTAACCGTACGAAACTCCCAAAATTGGTGTATTGACCGGACCACGTCTTCTTACGATAGACGCTACGTCGAATACTACCGTCAGACCTTCTACTTAGAAGTACATCCAGAAAGGGGAGCGGCCTGGATTGCTCTTCTTCCAGAGTAAATGTGATTGATGGGTGCGCTTGATTGATATCATCCAGTAGAACTGAACCGTCGTTTTGTTAAGGTGCAATCGCGAATATATCATCCACGTAGCGTCCATAGTATCTCAGACCATTGATCTGGCGACTAAGCGCGAAAGCTTCTAGCTTTCCATGGATACGTTCGCCAAAAGAGGACCAAGGAACGAGCCCATAGCTACTCCGTCTATTTGTCTGTACAGACTGTTGTCAAATGGGAATTGTACGTTTAGGGTACATCTCAGTAGCAATTCCTTGAGTGCATCCACCGACATTCATATATCCTGATGATTAGAGGCAATGAATTCACAGAGGTAATTGACGGTTTCTGTGATCGGCAAGTTCGTAAAGAAAGACGAGACGTCTAGCGAAAACATAATCATTCCGTTTAGGTTAAGATCTTTAACGCCGTTCACGAATTCCAAAGTATCCCGATAGCAATGTGGTGCTAGCTGGTACTGTATGGGCTTAAGTTTCTCCGCTAGTCGTTTTGCTATCGCATGGTACGACGAATTTTACGTGTCTAGGATTGGACGAACAGGTGTACCGTCTTTTTGGATCTTTGACAAGCCATATAACCGAGGTATATGCGTGCCAACGGGTCGAAGACGCTCTAGGTCGTGTTCGCTTATGAAACCATTCGCTTGAACTCTTCAAGCAGTCATTCAGCTGTGCTTCAACCTCGTCCGTCCGATCCTTCTCCTTTTCTGCCTTGCGAAACTTTTCCTGGTCCGACAGGATTGACTGTATTTTTTTGTAATATAGTCGACTTAAGAGGATTTCGGATATCATACTGCACGCATAATCCAAGCGTATCAGCCGACACATTTCATTCTTTAAGACACCGGCACTAAAGAGGCGATTTTCTACAGCTTGGCCATAATATGCGGGCTTTTGCCAATATTTTATGGGAAAAAATTCCCGCCTTCACATGAGCATCAAATCAGGCCTTCCAAATGAACACAAGATAATGTTCCGTGCTTATCAGTGTTTTCAATCCCACAGCTGTAGTCCCTAATCGAGAAAATGTGGACACATCGTTCGATGTTTCATGGGTTTTGATGCATACCGTATTTTTCTAAACCTCCTTTGTCTCTTGTTAGTTATCACTTTCTGCGATCCTTTGTCATGTTCTCTATTGATTTCGGCGTATTCCTCTTTTTATTTGACGCACGACTATATCAACACAAGCTGTTCCTTGTAGATATCGTCTGGAAGTTAATCGTGTACCCGCCGGCAACTGGGTTCTCATTGAGGGCGTGGACCAAGCCATCGTGAAAACGTCAACGATTGTCTCTCCTCACGCGGAGGGCGTCTTCATCTTTCGACCGCTCTCCTTCAACACCATCTCTGTTGTGAAAATATCCGTAGAGCCGGCCAATCCCTCAGAACTCCCCAAGATGTTAGATGGCCTGAGAAAGGTCTGAATTCACAGGTTTTCAATTTCGGAGCCTTCATACTCGCACCTATCCATTAGACGCCTCAGCCATGTGTTTCTCTTTGATCTCACTTCATTTTTCTTTTTCAGGTAAACAAAAGCTACCCACTACTTACTACAAAGGTGGAGGAGTCTGGCGAACGCATAATCAGGGCTACGGGAGAGCTATACCTCGACTGTGTCATGCACGATCTCCGCAAGCTGTACTCGGACATTGGTATGTTCACGTGCACGACCTACCCTATAAAATATTCGCCGATGTATACGAGGTATTTGCCGAGGTCCATATGCATGCTTTCGACTGGGAGGGGTTTCTTGACTAAGGTTGTGATTCTGCATCCACCGTCGATCGTGTGTTATACCTTTTTCTAAGATATTCGTGGATGCCGCGTAATCTTCATTGTTCTTCGTGTAAACAGCTGATAAAGGATTCCTCCGTTCGTCTTCTCGTCGCTTATGTCTTCTTCAGTCGTCTTCATCTTATCTTGTCATCAGATTACGGTGGTCTTGAAAGGCCTGAAGCGAGGTGGATACTATACCCTCAAGACCGTATTTGTCCTCGTCTCATGCAGCGGTTGGACCGTCGCCAACCCGTCTTGAAGTCAAAAACGAGCAACTTTGAATCAGCCTAAACAATTAATGACTACCGTATTGAATAATGTCAACAGTGATAACTGGGACGACTCCCGATCGGAAGCCAGCTTGCCACTCTCTACTAATTTACTCTATCTTCAGTGTCGTAATTATCAGCACTGCAACCTCACTGGAGTGATATGCAAGTGACGATGCTTTTTAGGGATTTTCGTTTCTGTTTCCCCAAGTTTCTGTGTGCACTCTTATGCATGCGAGTTTTTACTCCAGCGCCCAGTTTTCGGATTCGAATATAAAACACTGAGTTACGTATTCTTTTGCAAAATTTCAACCTAACAATCCTGCCCAATAATTTGAACCTTTACCCACAAAATAGATATTGTGGCAGAAATTCCATAGAGATCCTGAAGTCTAGGTGTTCTATCGCCTCGGTTATTTTTCTGTCGGTTTCATATTCAGCAGGTTATTTTTCATGCATTAGTTTAGTAGCGCAAATTTTTGCAGCACGATTGTTGGAGATAGCATCGTAATAAAGCTGTACAAAGAAAAGCGCATTTTCCTGTTTTTACGTTTGATACGTTTATGCTTTGCGTCCCCTAATTTTTTCGGTCCTTATTAGTCACTGGAACCTAGAGGATCGGACTTTTCCCTTTTTTTCGTCGTCTCATAGGCCGTCTGATGATTTCTGTGAAAAGAATCTTCTTCGACGGGTAGTCTTTGTGTGCCAGCTGTTTGCTGATGATCCTCCCTATTGTGCCTATTGTAGAGGTGAAAGTCGCTGACCCTGTGGTTGCTTTTTGTGAAACCGTAGTGGAGACATCCTCCCTGAAGTGCTTCGCAGAGTCGCCAAACAAGAAGTACGTTTGGTGGTCTTTGTTTGAAAACGCTTTGCATGTATTCGTCCTTCAGGAACTTTTTTGCTTCTTGTCCAAATGGAAGGCACGGACTGACTTAGATACCTCATTAATCCGCGGCTAACTTGTTCTGCAGGGCATCATACTTTGATGTTCGGAGAGCGGTATCATCGGCATAGTTGTGGCTAGTCAGCCGGCGTCCGAGTGGAAATCCGACACCCTCAAAACCGCGTACAGCCCTATGGTATTCGCTTGACCAGGGTGGGTGACAGAATGCAACCTTGTCGCACACCAGACAGACTCTCAAACGATTGGGGGAAATTGTTATGGACCAGAACCCGATCAGTGGTGGATTGATAGAATGCCGTAACCATAGCAGCAATTTTTGCCGGCACATCGTCTAGTTTTATCACTCGCTACAGAAACTCAGAATGAACAGAATCTAACTTTGCGGCAAGGTTGACAAGGCAGACAGCCGTCGATTGCTAGTAACAATGATGGAATTATCGAACTCGAATATTTGGCCTGGGTATTCATGCCCAGTTTTGTTGGGTCTCATCCCATTGTCACGCTCACTTTGCAACCGACCGAGAATGGCTATGGTAACGACCTTTGGTGTGACTACTACGGTATATCTAGCTGCTCATCTTATTTTACCTCTTGAGGAGAGGCAGTAAGACTGCCGATAATTGCGGCACTGGCGAACTGCCTCGCATAAAGGCACTGTTCCGTCCCAAGTGGCTGCAATGACAGCAGAAATGCGCATAGCCTTGCGATTTATGTTCCCAAATGTCTTCGGGATCACGGTAGACCGTGAAATTGTTCGACTGTTCGACAGCTTCTGCTGCCGTTGGTCTAACTTCCTGTCGAACATCCAAATCAAGGGGAACTTGCCTATCGCATCAACCAGGCACATCTGACCGTCCCCAGACTCCGTTGAAGCCTGTGGAATTGACGATAGATCGGCGAAAATGATCATTCTAAACGTTTGTGAAACATTGTCCGTACACTCAAAAGATAACCATCGCCTGTGTGTGTTCGATCGATAGTGTTTTGTTTCATTTCACGAATTCATGTCGTTAATGTCGAATACACAGTTAGTTGCAAATTCAGCCCGCCATCAGTGCCCTTTTTACTGGTTGACTGATATGACTTAGTCTCCTTTTTACCAAGTCTTTGCTGCACCGGCCTAGAGACAAATTCGTCCGCAATTTCATCTCACCCGAACTCATACATTGTTAGTACGGGAGACGCAGGTAGGCGTTGTGAAGCTAATTAAATCTCGTCCTGATGTCTGCCACTGACCGCAGTTGAAATAGTCATTCGTAGTATGGTAAAGACGCAGCGTGCAGTCGGCCGAGTCAGTAATAAATGCCGTTGCAGGTACGAGGATTTAATTAGACGGAGCAAATAACACGTTTGGTTGAGCCTTGTCGATGTGCGTCCCGCCCAGCAAGCCATTCCCTTAAGCGGGTCGAAATTTCTTTGCAGTTCCTCATGTTTTGAAATTTATTTCGTGCATGTATTTTCTTCAAGGAACAAACTCACCATGATTGCGGAACCGCTGGACAAGGGTCTGGCCGAGGATATTGAGAATAAAGTTGTACAGATAGACTGGCCGAAAAGGCGACTTGGTGAATTCTTTCTTAAGAAATACGAGTGGGATTTTTTGGCCGCTCGGTAAGCGTTGTTTTTCAGTCAAAATTCTTTTAAACAGCTCATAAATCCCGCGAATGGCAAAGTTGTTCACGTCGAACACTTTTGTTGCAGTTTCTGATTTCTCGTCTGTTTTTACGTAACGAAAACAAAAAGAGATAGGAAAATGCACACATCTGGAATTCACCTAGGCGATCGGCATTGTAACTATGAAGATCAAAATCCGAGACGAGCTACCTGAGCACTTATTAGATTTTCTACACAGGTACCGACGCCGTTTCTGAGGACGCTGTGTTTCTGCTGCTGAATTGTTTTGTTAAGGCGTATTGGAAGTAGAAGTTTGAATAGTCGCTGAAAAGCGCCCTTCCTTGGCGAATTAGGGAATCCTTGTTTGTGAAGTCTGATTAGGTGGTGATGCGACTTAGCCAACCCTTATGGTGCGCGCCGATCAGGACATAAAATTTGGTCAGTCACCTGTCAGTCAGACCCAGTCAAACTTATTCACCATTGTCACTGCAGCTCATTGGGAACGGAAATTAGAGGGTGAAGACAACGCTACAAATTTCTGCATCACCGTGTCTAGTTCACACACTAAATTGCCACGGCGCCTTGGAGGTTGTTGCTCGAATTATTTCCAGTTGGTTAATGACAACCAGTTTGCGATGTCTTCTTGTTGTCACCCCTATAACATCAGGGTGCAGTATTTTGTAAAATCCGTAATTAATTACTTAAAATAAAGACGTGAGAAGTCATTAAAAATAGGATGAACTTTGGGTTTAGGTACATGACTATATTAGTGGTTCAGTGGATTCTAGGTGTTATTTGGAATGCCCACCATAACAAATGCCAACATTCTGAGTTTGGTGGCAGGCCCATTCGCCGACGCATGCCGTGCCAATTAGAATCCCTGTCGCCTCCCCCCCCCCCGTTGTTGAGGTTGGTTAAAATCCTGGTCAAGTGTTTGTTGTGGACCAGGCGGTGTGGAGGTACATGTAGGTGCGGGTCCAGCCGTGCCAGCCACCTGCGTCCTCTCCCGCCTCCGGTCTCCTTGGCCATGTCTTGACACCGGATCCAGGTGGGGGAGGAGTGCAAGTCCACTACCACTCTAAACTAATCCACGCACAAGTCATCGCCCCTGCTGTGGAGCACGCAGTGGACATTGTCGGTCACGACGGTCGAACTGTCGATCCAACAGGGAACCTTTTTCCACCAAAGGATATGTAAGACTTTGAGGCAAAATCACTCGGATAGATCACTGGTGCATGGTAGATGGGAGAGAGTGGGGTCTGTCCGGCTCGAATCCAAACGCAATTTGGATTCGGTATGCATTAGTAATTATCTCTAGGGTTTACTGCCGTTAGCCGCGCTTTCTTCCCTGTTTGATTGATGTCCAGTCGTCCGAGTCGATCCCTGCCACTTTTGCTTACGTTCTTCTAGTATTTCCGATGAACTGCAATCGATTTTGCATTAGTCGCCGACAAGCTCGCTAGAAAACGACCCCTGCTCTTTCCTTCTGTTGCCAACTGTTACTCCAACTAGTGGCTTCGAACTGTAGACTTTGAGCCCTGTTGTCGAAGTCGAAGTAGCCGTACGTTGCCTTTGGGGAACATTTCCGTCCAGTGCGTTAGCTTCGTCCCCTATATTCCTGCCTAATCCATTTCGTGGTGCCTAGATCGCTGCTATGAACCTGTGCATTTCTAGCTTTGTCTTGCACATCTGCTGGGCCGGACATCTCAGAAATCTGTCGGTTTTCTGCTGATGGGCAACAAAATCGGACGGTGAGTACCAGTTAGTTTCTTAGTCCTTCGCTGCTTTTCTATCGGTCGTCCATCATAGGAAAGTGTCCATTGTCTCTTCTTCTACGTCGGTCTGGAGAATGTTATCTAACACATCCAAGAGTAAAATGTTGGTCGGCCTTTCGTGTGGACCCTATTTGAAAAGGTGTCAGACGAATATCGGTGCTGCATAAGCCATCCTCTGCAAGAAGGATTACCATTGAGAACAAGGAACAGCCAGACCAGTACTTTCGACTTTTCATCTCTGCAGTATTCTGTCTGCAGCTCAAATTAGAAGTTTCTAGTTTTTTAACGAGATAGGCCTTGTGAGCACAGTGCAAAACTTGCATTTTTACCTAGGATATCTTCTCTAAGGATAGTTTTTTTTGTGCTGGAGCCTTACAGATCTCGGAATGTCAGTTAGATTTACGTTCCGCGACCCATTCGTGGGATCCACGTGTTCGTTGCACCTCGCCTTATTCGGCCCGTTTCTGTCTGCCGGTAGGCTAGAGTGGATTGATTGATAAACTAACTCCTTAAATTTGTCTCAGGTCTGTTTGGGCCTTTGGTCCTGATGCCACTGGACCGAACATTTTGGTCGACGACACGCTTCCCTCTGAAGTGGACAAGGCCTTATTGGGCTCCGTAAAGGACTACATTGTGCAGGTATGCATTTTACGAGCACCTCGGCCTCTGTCCGTGCAACGTTTTTAACTTGGGATTACTTGCATAAAATTTTGAAATTGTCAAGTGAGTTGAACATCGAGTTTATATGTTTTACCATCCGCACTAAAAATTTTGCCCTTCTATATGTGCCTGTTCCTGAAACCGGGCTCCGTTAGTACTTTTAATTTCTTAACCAAAACGATCATGTCGAAGCCCGACCGACGAGTTGCTCAGGGCAACACCTACTTGCGTGTACTAGTAATAGACAAGTGTTTTTCGTCTTTGTAGCTTAATTCGACTCTCAATTTTCGACTAAAAGTCGCCAGGTCGGTATGAGATTAGTTGAATCCTAGCAAAGTTTGGCCGATAGGAAGATACTAACAAACTTCGGTTCGCTGGTGCCCCCGGTTCATCAGTTAGACCCATCTTCGCACTATTTTTGCGGTGTGCTTGGACACGTGTGTGTTTTCGGTCGCATGTGTTGGTCGAGGCATGAATCGCTAAGGCGGATATGAATGTGCCCCGGGTAGCTGTAGTCTTTATCCTGTCCTTTTCTCTTACACGTTAGTCGACAGTTGATTGGTGTGTGGTAGAGCGAAGAGCGACTGAAGCCGAAGCTAGGGAATCCGTTCTCACGGCAAATCAGTGCGTTACTGTAATGAGTGCGACGTTTTCGAGTCCATCACGACATGCTAAGTCTCGTGGCCTGTAAGGCTGTCATCTGACAGGATGACTCGGTCCTCTCAGGACTGGGGATTGGGTTGTAGTGGCTCCTTCTTTGTGTGGCCTTTGTGGCGCTTCCATCCATATGAGTTCCAAGCTGACCTCCTGGGAGTCTGGCACATGCTATGGGACCAGGTCGTATGTGGCACAGGTAGACGGGTCGTTTAGTTTTATCAACCGATGCTTCCAAACCCAGTCGTCTTATCGCTATCACGCCACCTGAGCAGCACAGTGGCATAGTACATGCGTTGCAAGTCTGCCTAACTACAAACTAATTCACGCACAGGTCACCGTTGCTGCGCCCGCTCCGCGGGGGACGGCCTATAGGCGCCGTTGAACCGCCGATAGAACCGTCGTGTCGTGTCGGCTGGTTACCCTGGCGGACTGCACTGATTTTAGACAAAAACAAGGGTCATATTGGCTCATGGCATACGTTAGACAGGTTACACGGAGTTTATGCGGACTCCTAAGTAGTGCTTCAAACACGGGGAGTACGCCGTGGCCACTGATCGCACCCTTACTCCCACTCGACTTCACTCAGACAGACCACTGGTGAATTCTAGATGGGAGCGAGATCTATGTGTCTTGAATCTAAGCACGCGTTGTGTTCTGATTGTCCAAATCCCTAAAAAAAGAGAGTCGGCCACTTGCTGGAAATCACGTCCGCGCATTCTTTAACATGTCATTAGCACGCTGTCAGTAGGCTTTCAGCGAACACTGGTCAACCTGCATTTAATATTAAAAATACGCGCCATTTTTCCGGCAAGGACGAGTGGCAGGCTAATACATTTTTCCTCGCGGCCAATCGTTCTTTTTTGTTGCCGTGTTAGCGGTTGGGACGACAACTACGCATTTGGTTCGCGTCGTTACTGGGTACCGGGCCGAGTCATATCACTTTTAGACATGTTTATAGCCGTGCTTTGAATTGTGACAGCCGATGGGATAGTTCGACTGTTCTCAGCGCTGAAGGTCTGACTGGAGTGGTTCCCTCTCGATATGGCCGTTACGGCACTCTGACGTGCGAGGTTCGAAACACCCCAAAGGAAACCCGACGCGTACATAGTTAGGGGCCAGTTCGTGTATGGCACGCGCACAGGGACTGCTAAACTGCGTCACCTACTGCGCTCGCACTCATGTCGAGTCGCCCCGACTTTCTCTAACCATCGAGACGCTGCTGCTATGGGAAGCTGAAGGGAGATTGACGTGCCTCAGGTATTCGCCGCTCCAGACAAATTTCTACATGCGTCGTTGCCATCACGCCTCTCAGGGACTGTAGTATTCCGCATCACGCACAGTGGGCGGGCTATTGGTCACCTAACTCTTATTTTTGTCCTACGATGTCGGGGTGTGTTGCTCGGATAAGCTGTACAGGTCGCTTTTCGCCCACTGCTATGTGCACAGCATTCGAAGATTTATTTTATTTGACCATTTTGCATCGGTAGCACTAGCGCTTTTCTACGTAAGGCACCTCGGTTTGTTTTAGTGCCTTCGGTCTAGTTGTCACCGCGATTATATGATCTGGTGGCAGAGATAATACGCTTGTTTCATGGGGTAGTTCAGCATGCGATCTAAATCCCGGCACCATTCTAGGCCAACTATATCCGTGTCAGCGCGGATTTCCACACTTCAACGGTTGTCAGACCGTTTGCTTAAAGCCGAACATTCATTCTTTTTTAGGGCTTCCAGTGGGGAACGCGCGAAGGTCCTCTGTGCGACGAACCCATCAGGAATGTAAAATTCAAGATTCTCGACTCGCTGATCGCCCCTGAGGCCCATCAAAGAGGCTCCGGACAGATTATCCCGACGGCCCGTCGGGTGGCTTATTCCGCATTTCTTATGGCTACACCCCGGCTGATGGAACCGTATTATTATGTGGAAGTTCAAGCACCCGCAGATTGTGTACCTGCCGTGTATACTGTTGTCACCCGTCGTCGGTTAGTCTGCCTTTTGTTATCCGTTTTGGCAAGAGATTTAAACCAGAATTAAGGCTCAATGGCAGGCGCTCTGGCGACTTCGGTCAGAAGTATTTCATATCACGTGGTAGTGGCGTCCACCAATCTGTCCCGGTTGGAGAGCATAGTACATGACCTGGGTTTTGCCAGGGAGTCCCCACCAATTGTTTCTATCAAGCCAGAGTGGTGAAATTCACTCTCATGTGACTTAACCAAGCGTCCCGAAGCCTGATGGGTAAATGATTGTGAGTTCACTCACTAGTGGAAGGCAGTAGCGTACTGTCACTGGCTATGACAAGGCCTACGGGCTTATTGCCCTTATTTTATGATAGAAACACTCACTTGTCTAAAATGTGAATCCCTCCTCCTAGTTACAGGTGGGATGAGGAATTTCACCTGTTTCGACCCCTTGTTGTCTCGTCTGTACTCCCTTTTATCTTGGATCCGCCCAAACCCACCCTTTACCTCAAAAAGCTGAGAGCCCCCATTTCGTTCAAGTCTTTCCATCCATTCCGTTTAGTGTTCTTTATCACCCCTTGGTCCCTGTTATACGATTCCTCATTTTACAGTGGCCACGTAACTCAAGACGCTCCAATTTCGGGCTCCCCGCTCTACATTCTCAAGGCTTTTTTGCCAGTGATTGATTCGTTCGGCTTTGAAACCGACCTTCGCACACATTCCCAGGGGCAGGCGTTCTGTCTGTCCGTTTTTCACCATTGGCAGATGGTGACCGGGGACCCGCTGGATCGGTCTATCCAAATTGAACCTCTAGTGGCTCAGCCTGCAACGCATTTAGCCAGAGAATTCATGATCAAGACCCGAAGAAGAAAGGCAAGTCTTAAAATATGTCCCTGTGTACTCTTAGGGTGGGACTCAGTAACACATTACTCTGCATTTGTGTATTTTGTCAGAATACGCATGGCTAAGTAAAATGTTTAACTCTTCTCTTTAGGGTCTCAATGAGGATGTGAGCATCAACAAGTTCTTCGACGACCCGATGCTGCTAGAATTGGCCAAGCAAGATGTCATGCTAAACTACGCCCTATAGTTTTAAAATGCAGCCTGTAATACACCGTTTTTTACACATGACTTTTTTATAACCTGACCTAGACTTCAACTCGATTTATTCGCGAGCTAACATTTTGGTCCTTGCAGTAAGTCTTCGCACGTATTGACAAATTAGTTTTGCCCTTGTGTTTGGGACACGGCAGTTTCACAAGAAACCCAGAATTATTGAAGTAATAGTTCCATCAATACTGACCCTTTGAAATGGAGACAACCATGTTGAGTGGGATACCAAACTCCTCTTCTCCTGTTTGATTTATTTGCCTGCAGTTATCGCACTACCCTGGGCCACGCGATAACTGTCTCGGCGTGTTTTTATTATGTTGACTCGACAGTACATAATAATTTATCGCCAAAAACACGATAACTGCAGTGTTTTGGGGCAATGGTTTTCGAATATCTTATTATTCAGCAAAGATACAAATGTCTGATATTCCGTCCGCGCGCCGTCATCCCAATCGGGGACAGCCGCGTTTGGCCTAATGCAGCAAGTCGTGGTTTTCGGCCGCTGGTCGCTCGGGAACTCCATATTCGAAAGCTAGACCAAGTCTTCTGCGTATGGCGAATCCTCAAAAAACGCTGAACCAGGTTGACACGCAGTCCAGATTACTTCACTTGCCTATAAAATCCCTTCGAAAGCCCTTAATAGGAGTTTCCCCGTCTTGCTGTTCTATGGACAGGAGCGGCATCGTGGTAGAATCCTTGCGCGCACGCAAGCCAGTCGCAGATGTTGGCTGACTTGATGACGTCACCCCAGCGGGTTGAGTTCCATATGGCCCACAACTCCAGTTGAGCTAAATTCGGTCGTGGACGACAGCTAACCTCTAGATATGTAAGGACTTTTCTGGGCATGAACGGTGTGTTCTCGCGAACACCATAACTTGGGTCCGGAAGTTTGACACGATTAGGCAGTTTGCTACGCTCGTTCCGCGGGCTCTCATCGTTGAATTCGGCCTGTCATGCGTTAGATACCTTCTCGACCTATTCGCCTCAGAAAGCATGTAACCCTGGATCAGGGGGTGTCTGTTCGTAAGATAACGACTGCAGGACATTGACGCCTTATTTCCTAGCATGGTCAGTATTGTAATACGCCTAGGTGTGACTACTACGGTTATCATGTAAGCGGCCACGTGCGCTCTTAGGATCTGCCACTCTAGCTAAATAAGGCACGGAAAACTAGTTGTGCAGAGAGAAAGCAACGATATAGTGGAGGGTCTAGGTACATAGTCGGAAGTAGTGGACCACCAGTGGCGCAAGGAATTATTCGTTAAGGGGTTGCGGGACGAAGTACGAGGGATCTCCCGCTGACATCTGATCTTAATCGGGACCGGGTGACGTAAGTCCCCCCTCCCCCTGAAAAGCTCCACGCTTAGCACAGGTCACCCGTGAAAATTAAGTCCAGACTTATCTTAAGGAACCTAACTAGTCACGCTCTCTAAAACATGTGAGGCGACACACCGTTGACCCGGTCGCCAGCTCCCGTTACTACTCACAACGAAATTCCTCACAGGAGTCACGACCAGTCCCATGTTGTGGATCTGCCACCCTGAGAACACGTGCTCAGTCAAAGTTGGGTGGTGGCAAACCCCCGAAGGAGATGGCATGCCACCCCGGAAGGCCACACGACCGAAGGTCATCATAAATATACGTTCGGGGGCTCCTTAATTTTGCGTGTCTGTACTCCAACACGACCACTGGGTGGACGCAGACGATGGTCTTGTAAACGTCGTTTCTCAGCGGCCGGTTAATATGTTCATGCAAGCGTATAAGAACGTCGAGATCCTCCTGAGCACAAGTTTGCAATAAATGTTACGTAGTGGTTATGGCATTACGACTAGACTTTGAAAGAGATTACCCGAACCAGAGCAGCCCCGAAGACGAACTGGCCAAAATGTGGGTCGGCGCAAGCTGACATGTATGACGGGAAAGTGTCAGGGTGTTGACGGCCAAACTTCACAAGTAGACACAACGCGAAAGTTCCACCTCGTGCGAGGAAGTGGTGCCACGGCCGCACATATGACTCACCTACAATCCCTGTGCAGCACTACAACAAACGTCCGGAAGCACATTTACGCAGGCAGGTGCACAGACAAGCAGTCTAGGAGGGCACGCAAGCTTAGGACCGCGGAGCGCCCCACGAAATCACGCTCGCTTTAAAGTGGGTGGAATGACTGTGGTCACCGGAAGCAACTCCCGTTGTAAGGCGCGCGCTAACACCCGTGCGTGAGACGGCGACTCCCTCAACCCTGTAGACCGGCAGGTTCCCACCGCTCGTCCTTTACATGTCCCGTATCCCAACAGGTCAGATACCTGCACTGCCATCAGCGTGGTAGGGGAGACTGCCTGCAGTCAGCCCCTCGGATCTACAGGGATCAGACAAGGAGATGCAAACTCAAGCGAGCCCACTAGAAAATTAGCAGTACTAGACGTACGTCAACTCCGTGGTCCCTATCACCCGTGCAGTGGCTGCACTATTAGCAAATTACAACACGACACACTCGCTGGCCCGACTGAGTCCGTTCGCGATTCTGCTAGTCAAACCTCCCATTTGGTTGATCAGCAAACGCGATAGGATGAAATCCCAAGAGCCCACGCAATTCGACGCCGGAAATGCGTCTTGGTGCCAGCCTAGCCTTACCAAACGCGAAAACTACGGCGAAAGGTCAGTTGAGAGTTGTGATCTACTTTACCAGCTGGCCGAAAACATCGGTGACTGGAATCCACGCAAAACTGTAATAGGATAAAGGAGCAGATGATGATCGAAACGGCTACCCCGGCAATGTTGGTGCAGGAGTCGGCTGGCTCTGGTTAGACGCCGTGTCTGCCAACTTCCTAGGTCTAAATATTAGGTAAAACAAACCATTCACGGCGAGCATCATCCGGATCGCCTCGGAGGAAAGTGCCCCAGTCCTAAACCCAATCCTTAAATCTAGTTTGGGCTGGAAAAAAATACGCCGCTAGACAGGGTCACGCAAGAGGCGACCGGGAAACACGTCATGCCCGTCCCACAAACCTGATTGGAACAGGCCACTTGCGCGCCACTCACTGGGCACCTGAAATCGGAAAGCAACTTTCCTACGCTCTCGGTTTAACAGGAGTGTGACGCATAGGTACAGCCGGCAACGCGAACCGAGTCGCAATCCCACTGGGCAGGGCAGGACTCTGGTGGAGCTGCGAAGGAAATAGCTTTTGCTGGGACTCGAGATCCCGTCATCTACCTCCCTGGTAAAGTACAACCCTAAATACCAGCCCTTACTTGTCCCAAAGAGCCGAAAATCGAAAGACATGCTTGACAACCACAAGTGACGAAGGAAAGTGCGTTCCCCTCAAAAGGAGTAACATCGATGGCCACTGAGATCCGGCATTTCAAACACATGCCCACCGGCCTTAGCGTATAACCAAGGCGGCTACCAACTGAACCACTGGTGCGACCAGGGCTGAAGCAGTTCGCGTGACTGACTCAGTTGGGATCGGTTCGGTTTCGTTAATACTCGTTCAGTATCCGCTAATGTAGGCCATCAATTACCTTAGGTAAAAATTTTCCCAAGTAAGAACTGGTTAGCCCCCTGATGGCGGACTACCTATTCCTATATCACAAACACGCAAAATACTCACTGCAAGGCGTCAAATGTCTCTACAACGCGGTAGGTCCGACACCGCGGGAGCTCAACCGCGTGAAGAGGCTAGCACGCAGGGCATGCGCAAGTCGTTTACGCAAGACTTATAAGACCAAGAACAAGAAGGAAAGTGGACAAAAACCGTTCAAGCCCCTTTTATTAAGAAAAAAAGTTAGCTCCTTGGCTTGTCCTTTTTGTGCTTGTAAAGAGCTAGTAATGACACATTGGCAACCTTCACAACCTTGAAACGGACGCCGGGAATATCACCAACGGCGTGACCCTTTCGACCGAAGCCGGCCACCAAAACCTCATCATTGTCGTCAATGAAATTCATGCAGCCGTCGTTCGGAACAAAAGCGGTAATTTTCTTTCCATTTTTGAGAAGCTGAACACGGACACACTTTCGGATGGCCGAGTTAGGCTGTTTGGCTTCGACACCAATCTTTGTTTACAAAATCATACACTGAATAAAAGGGATACCTTTTCGACAACAATCCCCTTGGCATGTGACGCACCGCCAAAAGGATTGGCTTTCCACCTCGTACCCAAGTGAGCCTTTTTGTACTGCTTGTCAGCCCATCGCTGCTTGCGACGGTGAATGCGGAGCTTTCTTGCCGTATATATGCCTGAGGGCTTTCCACGAGACATGGTCGAGCAGAGAAATCAGCAGAGACAGACACCAACAAGCAAAGCACGCCGCGGTACAGTGATGGGGCCGTTTAAACAAGGTTTAGGTTCAAAGCAATGCAAGGATTCAGGTTATTCCGACTTGTGGAAAAAACTGAAAACTCCTGAGTAGTGTAAGGTGTTTCCCCAAAAAATGCGTGCGGACAGGATGCCCGAACTGATTCCTCGAACTCTCATCAAAGACCTAAAAGGGAGTAGGGGACAATGAACACCTACTTTACCTGAAATACGTCCATACTGACACTACTACTAATTTGCGATCTGCAATCATTCCAGTAGTCATATAAACGGAAAAACAACAAATAGTTAATTAGCTGAGGCGTTGCATAGTGGCTGGAGAAGAACTACACCCGGAAATAATCTAATAATTTGAGAAGCTGCTGAAAAATTTTGACAACTTATAGAAAACCATAGAAATGCCATATAAAAGGCATAAAATTGCGACCAACACAAAGTGCAAGCATGACGTCTCTAGCGCAAAAAGTAAAGACAAAAGAGGATAGTTCGGCAGCTAGAGGACTGATGACTGGAGAATTCATTGTGGCTGTACGTCTTGCTCGTATATTACAACCTGAAGAAATCGAAGCCTATTTTCTAATAGACCAGGTGCAGAGTGCTAACAAAAGAAAATCTATTACAGAGACTATTGTCACCAAAAGAAAGACTGAAAATCGGTCGGGACGTCTGTGTAGTTGTGTGCCGACCGCTGTGTCGTTCGTCAGTAGTAAACATTTTGTCATAACTTTTGTCTGTGACCAGCCTGGAGTTAGCAGGTCATCTACGACAAATTACGGACCCATAAGCTTGGCATGCATTCTCTGAAAAGTTGTGGAGAGGATCATTAAGAGTGAATGGAAGCCATTCCTAGAAGTTAATGACTTGCTAGCGAACTGCCAACAGGGGTTCTGGAAAGGATGATCCTGAGCGACAAACCTGCTGCAACCTCTCCAGAGCTGAACCCGAGCTCTTGACGAGGGACACGTGGTCCATATAGCTTTCATTGACTTCCAGAAGGAGTTCGACACTGTGCACACCAGAGAATGTTACACAAACTGAAAAATAGGAATCAAAGTCAACTTCTTTAAATGGATCGAAAACTGTCTTGTGGGTCAACAGCAGGTTGTGTGAATCGGTCAAGGAAAATCAGATCCTATTTTGGTCGAGAGTGGTGTTCCCCAGGGGTCAGTACTGAGACCTATTTTGTTCCTAATATACGCGCATAACTGCGGAAGAGCTTTGGACTGCGAAGATGCAATGTTTGCAGACGACATGAAGATCTGGAGTGTAATTGGGGGTCCTGCCAACGAAGACAGACTGCAGATGAACCTAGATCGGTTGGGAGAATGATCAACCCATTGGCTCCTGTGGTCTAACGTTGGTAAGCGTAGCATATTTCGCCTAGGCAACACAGTCACATCCACCAACACAAGAGACTACTCTCTGGGTGGTGCAGTATCATGAGACGTCGAAGCTCAAAAGGACCTCGGTGTGCCGACGACGAGCTCCATGAAACCATCCGTTAATTGTTCGAGAGTGGTAAAAAGCGCATTGTGCGTACTGTATGCCATCAAGCGTACGTCTATGGATTTTGACGAAGATGCTTTCTCAAAGACATTCGGAACATTCGTGCGGCCGCACGTGGAATATGGCAGTTAAGCCTGGAGACGGTGGGTAGTTGAAGACCAAAATTGTCTCGAAAGCGTTCAGAGGAGAGCCACGAAGATGGTTAGGGATCCAAGCTCCTTTTCTCATGCAACTCGCCTAATAAGTCTGAACTTATGTATATTTATATATGTTTATGCATGTATACATTTTGAGGGTTAGAGTCAGAGCCCTTGATGACCCTATTTATGTACAGTGCTTTCGCAGATTCGTCCTCAAAAATCAAATTGCGGGCATTTACAATGTGATCGGGTCACAGTTCATAAGGTAGTGCATGAGGCCACTGTAAATGACTTCCGAGGGATTGTTTATGGCAGTTTTTTTTACAAATTTCTGTGCGTTGTCATGCTGTAAAAACCGATTTCTGTAGAAAACTATGCGAGCAAGTTTTCTTTTAAACACACAAATTGTGTCAGCCGTCACCTTTTCGCTTGTAAGCCAGTTCCACGGTCGGACAGCCCGCTGGCTGAATGAAAATTTTGGACGGTATAGCCGTTTGAGCTCATTCCTGACTTTGTATGCATTGCCGCTTATTTGGTTTGTACGGGCAAACTCAAAGAATCCCTCCGTTCTTAATTATCAACCCTGGTCGCGAACAATCGGAACGTCCAAAGAAGACTGCACTTTATTCCTCTATAAGGAGAGGGAACAGGCCACGCAAATTCAGCGTCTCCTTATAAGACAAATGCTTTAGACCGTCCACCATCTTTGTCGCCCTGCGTTGCACCTGTTCGAGTAAGTCAATATCCTTCATCATCCATGGTGAAGCTGCGGCATTCCATACTCCAGATGAGGTCTTACAAAGATACCAAAGAGTCTTCGGAAAACGTTCGGGAGGGAGTGTTTAAAATGTTCGTCTGATTTAGTGTAGAGTACAAGTTGCCTTCTGGACCATCTTCCTACAGTGTTCTGATGGCGATAGATTTGTGGTCGTCCATACACCCTAATCTCTGTTTCTTTCCACAGTTTCTAACCTCGTCCCGTCAATATAGTATTGGTGTTTGGGAGGGGCATTGGGGCCGGTGTTCAAGTGCAAAACCACGCATTTGGACACGTTAAACTTCAAACGCCATCTGTTCGACCAAGCACACAGTTTATCGACGTTCGACTGCAACTTCTCTGCGTCATCATCGTATTTGACTGCACTCCATATTTTTATGTCATCCGTGAACTTGAGGACCTCGCAATTCACTTCGCTGATGCAGTCATTAACATAAATCAGGAAGAGTACTGGGCCTAAGACAGAACCCTGTGGGACACCACTTTCCACCTTTGCCCATCCTGAGGTAGAGTTATCAACGACGATTCTTTGTACGCTAGAGGACAGAAAACTCCTGATCCATTTGAACATTCCTCTTTGAATTCCTACATCCCAGATATTCTGTAAAAGAAGCCTGTGTGGGACACTGTTTATGGCCTTCTTGAAGTCAAAAAATATGGCATACACTGGAAAAACTCTTATCGGTAGCTCGTGTCCATTTCACGTGTGAGTGAAGAACACCCATTAGGCAGAAACGCCCTGGACGAAAGCGATGTTGGTCATCACAAAATATTTTGTTCTTTTCCAGGTATTTCATCAAGTGTCTTTTGATAATGCGTTTCATTATTTTAAATGCGATGTAAGTAAGATTGACGGGGCGCTAATTTCCACAGTCAAGTCTTGGGCCTCCTTTATGGATCGGAGTAATAAGTGCGCACTTCCATTCTTCCGGGAGCTCGCCCTCTTGAAATGGCTTTTCAAATATTGCGGATAATGGTTTGCACAGTTAATTGGCAAGTTCAGGAAGTGCTAGTGCGGGGATTCTATCTAGGCCAGGCGATTTGGCAGGTTTCAGCCGGAGTAGCTCGGCCCTAACTATGGTCGATGAAAAGAGTGGTTCCTCGGTTAAGGAGGGTAGGTAGGGGTAAGGAGGGGGAAGGGTACTAGAAGGCGAGGTTGGCTGGCGAAGGGATGGATCGGCAAATATATAACTGGGTTCTCGGGTGAAGACGGACTGAAAAAAGTCGGAAAGGAGGGACGGCTTAACCTTATCATCAGTCTCTACTTTTCCATCTGCAGACCTAAGGGCAAGGATCAGCTCCCGAGTCCTTTTAGTACTTCGTATAGAACCATATAGAATTTTCGGATTCTCCGACGGATTTCGAAGCGTGTTCAGTTCAAACTTCCTCCACAGCTTTGAGACCTCACTTTTACAAAGGTTTCGTTATCGCTTATATTCCTGTAAGCGTTCTTCGGAGTCAGGTAGTCTGTAACGCCTCCAAAGACGACTCCATTTTCTAAAAGAGGCCTTTAAGTCCGGGTTTATCCATTTTGGGCGGTTTGTGCTTGTCTTTCTTCTGAGAGGACAATTGGAATAAACAATCTCTTTCAGTAAGGAACTGAAAGTATTCCAGTTGTCGTTTGCTCGACCATGCAGTTCAGTCTCCCATGATACAGCTGCCGTTTCCCTCCTCATGAGAGAATAGTCCCCCTTCCAAATGTTTCTCTCCCACCTATCGGTTTGGACGGGTTTGGAAATCAGTGAGTACTCGATGTAGAGCGTGATGTGGTCGCTTGACCCTAATGGCGGTTGGTCCTGTAGGTCTAACACATTTCCTCCTCTCGAGTAAAAATAAGATCAAGGCAGTTAAACTGCTGTCCTCTCCTAACCCGTGTTCCAAAGGTAACATTCTGACAGAGATGTTTGTCCGTTGTCAATTGTAGTAGTTTGTAATAAAAGCATAAGTGCCACAAGACAGCTTTAATCAAAAACTGCTACAATGGGCAACGGACAAACACATCTGCCAGAATGTTACCTTTGGAACACGGGCCACGGCAGGACAGCAGTCGACTGCCTTGATCTTATATTTACACGATAGGAGGAGAATGTGTTAGATCTACAGGACCGACCTCCTCCCTTTGAGTTATAGGCTACTTAGCGGGGATCTTTTGCATTTATTCTGTATAGTGAAAGGGTTGGACTACAGCCTGGCTTTCGAGGACTTTTTAAATTTGCTATCACGACCAACCTCCGAGACCGCCGTTAAAACCGCGAACTCAGCAGGCAAGGCTGGATGTGCGGGAGTTCTCCTTCTCTGTTCGAGTGATTAAACCATGGAATATCCTTTCCTTAGATGTTGTGATGTGACCATCAATACAAAGTGTTAGCAAGAAGCTCGACATATTATGTTCCTAAACGACCAAGAGCGATGAGAGATCGAGCCCATCCCCTGTGACTCACTTCCATTTTGTCAAACTATTATGGTCTCATTGGAATTATTTCAGCTCAGATAATTTCCCTGTACACCGCATCCAGTTTTACGTTGTAAATAGGGTACTGAAAGACTTACGTCTATTTCCCTCAATAAACTGAACTGAACCAAACAACCCAGAAAAGAAATGCATTAACGTGATGGTGGTCATCTAAATCGAGCAGAGAGCTAAAAAGTTCTCTAAAAACAAAAGCAAATGATAATCCTAATTAATATACAACAGTAAATAGCATTTTATTACTGCCATACACAACTGACTCTCGTCAGTACGTTCGATTGGCCCTTTATTCATTAGCTCAGCAGGTCTACTCACCGGCACATGTCATTACTGGCATATCTTAGTTACTTAAGTCGCAGGATGTTCCTCTATCACTTACCTCATATTCTCTTGCCCTGGACATCAGGTTTTCGTAACTGTTAAATATGACGTTCTACATCAGTCGCCTAAACTGGGCATGCAGAACCAGTGCTTGATCGTGTGCTACAGCGTATACGTTAGGGAGTGGTAATCAAACTAACTTTTTGGAGAGTTGTGATTTGGGCTGATTAAGTCGTGTAAACCACGCTTTCTTGAAAATTCCTGCCGTTTTGACCTTGTCAGTCGGGATGGAGTCGTGGTTGTCATCCACTTTAAAAGGCGTTACATTGACGTCGTCCCTCCTTCTATGAACCACGCTTAAAAACAAGTGGGCACTTACTGTCTTTTTGTTTAAAAATACACTTATCTTGGTATCTCTTGCATGACTAATTTTCTTAATGCCCTCCTCCTGGTCACTCAGTAACTAGACACGTCGAAACACAATTTTGTGGCCTTCAACTCAACAAGGGACGCAGACTATCGCAACACGTGAAAATGTTTGACCAATGACGGAATAGTCTGCGGAGCAATTCCGCAAAGGGCGCAAGTTGCTTGCTCCCACTTTTTCGCAATGGTAAAGTCGTTTTTGAAGGTCGTTTCTTTTTCACTGAAATAGGCGTAGTTTGTTATTTCCGTTCTACCCGTCAAGTCATTTCGATAAGTCTCAATTCTTATTTGTTGGATATTCTAAACATTTTTATGAGGTATTTGGATCGAATTCTGAGGTGGAAACCTTTGGATGTTAACGTGCCCTAGTAGCGAACTATATCGAGGCGATATATATTAGATATGTATTTTCCGAGATACTTATATCTGCTAGATGTCGATTTTGTCCGCGATCCAGTTATCGAGTAGATATCTATTTTTCGAGATACTCCGAAAGCGGCGATAGTGACACGTCAGGCCATGCGCAAGCTGCGGTTACTTAAGTAATCCATACCTAATTTTATTATTGTCTGTTCGCCTTAGTCATCCCAATCCCGACTTACTTGGCCTGCTGTTGTCCACTTTATATCGCGTTGAACGGGTTAATTTACGTCCCTATTGCAACCGAAGCAACTAGATCGACCAAAAAGAACTATTTTGAAGACGTGTTAATAGGGAAAAAGTTTGTTGGATAAAAATTAATTTAAAAAAGGTTTAATACATAGAGGAATCTTTTGTGAATGATGATCCATCACTTGTGGAACAACCTGGATTGTTGTCTATAGCTATATTTAAAAAATGAAATGTATTCACCAGTCCAGCATTTGTTGCTTATTTCTTTCTGCTGCCTTTGTACATAATTATCCAGGGACCTTTTCAGTCTTTTAGTGAAGGCAGTCTCCAGGTCCGATAATGTGGCAGCGCAGTCCTTGTTCCAGCCGGCGAAAACGTCTACAAATGTAGATAGCGGACGCTAAATTGCAAACTTACCCGGAATAACTTTGTACACTGCGGAATTACAGAGACTGTCTGTCAGCTTTCGACCTTTGAATTTAACGCGCAGGGGGGTTTCGTCGTCAAATAGCACAAAGAAGATGCGCTTAACAAAGTCGTCTAGGTTATTGCCGCTTAGACAGCTGAGAAAGGACACCTTATGTTTTGTATAGGGATTAAACGGACAGCCTACATGTTGACTTTTAATGCCATTGTCTTCCAATAGTGCGAAAGTCCGCTACCGTTCGCATAGGCCTTTCGATAGGGTTTTGTGGCAGCGGTGTACCTCCCAGCGCTGGTGGCCTCTGATTTACCTTTGCCTCTATTTCTCGCAGTCAGCCGTGCAAGCGGCGGTTACTGTCTAGGATTAAGTCCATTTTTTGACAACCTGACATTGTGTTGAATGAGCAGGGCTACGGCCCTGTCCAAATTCGCAAGCCTGTCAGTCGGCATTGTTTCGTGCCACTCTGTGAGATAGGTCAGTAGAAAGAAGTTTTATTACCCTCGACCCGCATGGGCTCCCTTGAGGGAAGGGTGTCACCGGAGTCCCCCATGTCATATTGGCTCTCGTTTATTTCCTAGGAATCAGAACAGCGTTAAGTCATATGACTTACAGGCGAAGATATGCCTTCTCCGTTGAAATAATAGAGAGCCTCTTCCAGTGCAGATCTGCGTTCACTTGGAGGGTTTAGGCGATTAGGTTGGCTCATAGTATTGTCTACAAACGCACAGGGAACAGTTGAGTGACGATTATTTGTGATATTAGTGATCTTATAACTATAACCACTTCCTCCATGCAGTGCTCACAAACCTCTCACTTCGTTTACTGTGCGCCTGTAGGGCTACGAGCACTGTTCGCGAGGGCGAAAGGACAGTAAGTGGTTTACTAAGAACTGCCTATTAGTACTTTGCGGGAAGCAGATAAACTTACTGAACGTATTTGGCAACGGTGCGCAGCTAATAGTGCTGTCAAGCTCAGCCTTCAAGACCTTTCGAACGATAATTCCTTACCCACAAACTTAGCAGCTTTTTCACTACACCCAAGTCTATTAGGTGTAGAGGATCTAGGGGAAAATTAGAAATAAGTCCTAAGTTACAGGACAAAAACAGCGATGTCCTAGCTACGTGCTCGTCGTCGGTCGGCTGCAAAAAGTCTTCATCTTTCCTGTACCTATTCCCTTCCTCGGAGTACACCACTTTTCCAATATATTCTCCTACCACTGTGCAACGTTCGCATCCGTGGTAGGCATTTACGTTCTTAGTCTGCTTCACAAAAGCCCTGGCCGGTGCATCACAGATAACGGCCGTTATCTGAACGTGAGCATGATGGCTCATTTCGTCGACTTGCACTTAATCTCATTAACCAGTGACAGACAGTACAAGTGAACATCAGACGGCTTTCCGCCGCCACAGTAGATGGCAACTGGGAAGACATTACTTATAAACGGACGGACTACTCTGCCTAGTATGGGCCACATTTCAGTCTTTGATTTCTTATAGATGGGGACGCCGTCTATAGCTAACTGAACGTGCACATAATCTGCTACGGAATGAGAATACTTACGCAAGCGCCAAAGTTTGCGAAGCTGCCATTCAAGTCCTATTTGCAAGTATTCGCCGCTACCCATCGGGGCTACCTGCAAATCGTAATATGCCCCCAAAAGGAGTTCTAGGGTCAGCAGGGAGTTCAGGCATGAGGGGGCTGAGGATGGCCAGAAGATCCCGAAGGTGAGCTAGTGCTATCTTACACCACAAAACTCACTCGCACAACTTCCAGGCGTAATCCTGGCCACTTTGAGTGGCCCCAGGCCCTCTGTCTTCTGCGTCGTGAGGGCAACCTGCTCTAGCAGTTTGTACATCACTTACTACCACTGGTGTGGATATATCCTCTTCCTCGTGCTCTGAGAATTCAACGACTGGCGTTAATGTATCCGGCGAGGAGTTGTATAACTCCTCGCATGATCTCATATGACATCTGCGTCTTTTATTGAGACTTCATTTTCCCGAAAAACTTCCTCCCCATACTTCTTAATCCGGCGTCTAATGGTCCTGTCAGATACATCACTAAACAGTACGATGGGACTGTGCCTATTGAACTGTGCTCCTCAAAGTCTCCTATGGTTTAGTCGCGACATGCAGATTCTTAGACATTGCTGCCATAGATAACCAGTCAAAATGTAAGAGTTCGATATTCCTTGAAATATGGGCACGGCTGTGTCCGGGTTCTGGGACTTGTTGAAGATTCAGCACACAGACTGATTCTTTGCCAGACCGAGTCCAAATACTCTAGTATCCGTTTACTCCTGCACGATAGCAGCATCAGTTCTTGTAGCAAAGTTGCCACATGCCACCTATCTTGTTTACAGTTACAGGAATCTGCTGTCCAACAAATTTGAGGGCTGCGTGCGTGAATCTGAAGGGGCTAACCACGCGGAGACTATACGGTTGGGTAAAAGTGAACACCAGGCTGTTTGACTCACCTAGGCACATTTGGCATAAGTGCACCACGTTCCCATGACCAACCGGGCCTGATGCCGACCCTGTCCAGACTAAGGAACGAAATGCCTCGTTCAATTCAGGACACAACAATTATTTAGAAGTCACATGCTATCCGGCATAGGAAGTAGCAAGCGGTGGAGGTACTAAGGGGAAGTGAGTCGAGGCATTGGATAGTCAAACGCTTGAGTGAGCTCATAGGCACTATTGTATGATATCTTGGACAATACGAAACCACCAGTGATCTTCAACGGATTCCTGGTAACAGTCGTCCAACGATAGCAATAATGAGAGGCTGCAGGCGGCTATTAAAGTGCATGCGTCGATATCGGCTTACATCCTTGCGTTAAGCAAGGTGAAGGTGGGTTCCGAGCGTTATACATAAGGCCAGTAGGGGTTTGGACGAATACACAGAAACAGGGGGACTGCTCAGACTACTGCATTTAAATCGGAATTTTGAACAACCCTTCTTGAATTGCATTATGTGACGACGTACGTGACATCTGCAATGGAGCAGAAGAACTTGTGCTAGTAAACTGCGGCTTCGCCCGAGAAGTATTGACGTACCAGTCCAGATTTGGAGCCTAAGAAGGCAAAATCCTTTGCCGAAACGACTACTACAAATATGTTAGGTGACAAGAGCCGAATGCATGCTTGAGCGGCCGTTTGGGGCTTAGAGCGGAGCACTTGGTTCTCTTTGATGAGAACAGTTAGTAGTTTGCGCTAAATGGGGGTCGTGCGAGTGCATCTGCTCGTAGTTCTAGATCAGGCTAGATCGCAGCCGTATCAAGTCAAGTACAGTAGTATCTGCTCGTAGTACCGGCAAGCCTGCCAGAATCAACTTTTCGGGATGACAGTACACCGACTTTTCGATGCCGTGCCACCCAGTTCCAAAGGCTCAGCATCAGATGCATCTCATGACCAGTTGGGTCTCCTGACTTCAATCCCATGCAGGTGTTTAAGATTAGATTTAATGAATGAATCCCAGATCGCCAGAGCTGCAAATGCTTTCCCAACTTAGGGTCGCTTTTCTAACTGCTTGGGATATAATGATAAAAACGATTCTCATCCCGTCGAAAACACACCAATGAGCTGAAGCTATAACTGTGCGTGAGGGCAAGCTTGTCCGACATAAGTATTAAGTTATGCTCTTGGCTCTTACTGAAGTTACTTTGAAGTGGGGTTGTCGGAAACGCGTTAAGAATTCACGACGTCCTCTCAGTATAAACTGTCTTGGTTCAGTTTACTGGAGGGTCCATTTTTGGCCAACGGTATAAACGACTTCTCGTAAGTGAGCTCTCATGTAGGTCGCATTTTGAACTAAGGACAGCTTCAGTGCTTTTATCCTGGCTTACTTTTTGTGTTTCCTCTAAAGAATCGACTTTTTGAGAATAGATAACCACGTTTAGATACAGTGCCTCGTGTTCCTATGAAGTCACATCCCCAAATGAACGAGAAAAATATCCCTGTTGAAAGAACGCGAGTAAAATAAAACGGTCGTCAAAGTTTTTGTCTAGATTATGGGCCTTCTAAATGTCTTGTTAGCTTTGAGAAGGTAGTATGTGGTCTCCTGTGAGGCACACGCGGAGTCTAACTGCGCTGCAGCATTGAAATACATATCCTCATAATTTAGCCGGTTGTTTGCGTTCTTTACGTCGTTTTGAAGTGTCAGTGAATCTGGTATAGTTGCACCAGAGCCTGGTCGAAATCTCATTTTGTCAAAGGGCGAAAAATGGCAACGATTACGAGGTCTTGCAGTTCGACTGGGAGTAGCGAAACTCCAGCCAGTTATTCATTGGCCCATGAAGTGCAGCTCACTAAAAACTATTGTGGTTCGTTTAGAGCCCTTCTGACCGGCTAGTTTTGCTGTTTTCTACAGAGCCGACGCGCCCACTCTCTTCATTCCGGCTACAGTGGTTCATTGCTGCGTTTATGGCAGTCTTCATCCTGCATACTTCTTAAAGACTTACTGATCTACCCTGTCTTTGTCAGGTAAGCAAGCGAACTCGTTTTATTTTTCCGTAGTTGTCATGAGGAAGTAGAAGAAGATATACCCAGTCTGCCTGGTCAAAAACGGCTTGGTGTCCGGCGTTTGACTTCTTATCTTAAGCCTCTGGTTGAAAAAGGTCTTCGGTGTGTCCTCCTCTTTGGCGTCGTTGATGCTGACCTGAAGGACGAGAATGGATCGGCTGCGGATAGTGAGCGGAGTCCTGTGTGTGCCGCAGTAAGGGAACTGCGGGCGCAACTGCCTTCCCTAATTGTCGCCTGTGACGTCTGCCTCTGTGCCTATACAACAGCACACCATTGCTGTAAGATCGTTTCCACCTTTTCACTATTTTCTACATAGATTTGAGCAAAGACGACGGGGAGATGGATGTTGAAGGGACAGTTAATCGACTGGCCGAAATCGCCCTCAATTACGCTAGAGCAGGTGAACTTCCTCCTTCGCTCTTTGTTTTCACTCCAATACACAGGCTTCCATGAACCCCACTGAACCGTATTTTTGCATAAAGGTGCACACATAATCGCTCCATCGGATATGTCGGAGGGCCGTGTGATGGCCATCAAGGAGGAACTATTGCGGAATGGTTTTTCACGCTCTGTATCGGTCATGTCGTATGCCGCGAAGTTTGCTTCATGTTTTTACGGACCTTTTCGGTAGGAAGAAATAAATGTTTTCAAAACATAACGCACTATTACAAAACCACGTTTGTGACTGTTAATCCATCTATTTATCAGCCTTTTTAATCCGCAAAATGAGCAAGAGTTCCAGTATAAAAAGCTAACTGTGTCCGCCTACGCATTCTGTACTTGCGTCCAAATGCACCTGTGAGCTTTACTCGATTCCCTTGAAATCCCCTTTCCAGCTCGGCGGCCGGATCAGGAGACGGGGAAATCGACCGCCAGACCTATCAGTTACCCCCTGGCGGCGCTGGCCTAGCTATTCGGACTGCGGTACGTGCGTCATTTTTCTAACTGAATCCTTAGTACATCTCAAACGTGGTAAACCAGTGACTGCCTTTTCCAGACTAACTGGGCTATCCACTTGCAGTACGTAACGACTACGTTTACTCTTCGACGCCTTCATTTCCAATTGCCGTCACTTCCAAGAGAGCCTGCCGATCATGTGGCCTAAGCCAAAATCTTTCACAGGTTGCAGCAACACACACGACAACTACCAGTGAATTCGTAGACTTTGGTCAATTCGTCGACTTGAAGATTTTTAAGTGCGCCTCCGTGTGAACCGAACAAGTGTTAGTCATTACTTCTCCTGCGCTTTCAGTTCCCATGGTACACTTAGCACAAACTTTCCGCATGGACGACAGGGCTTCTGATATTCCTCGATGCCATTTTCAGGCGAAAGTAAGTTCGGGGGAAATGACACTTCGGGTGATTTCGCCCTCAGCTAGGTGTTGGTACGTAGTTGGAACACCTAAGTCGCGAGCATCCAAGACACTGTCGAGCGTTATTGACCACCTATGTGGTAGTTCATTGAGGACACGACTAGAAGGGCTTGGAAGACGAACGCACGCACCGCATCGAGCGTGTCACACATCCATACTAGAGGACTGCCCTGGGTCGATACCATCTTTGCTTTGTTTATTGTTCATGAAGTCCGAGTCAAGTACTTACTTACTGTCTACTTAAGGCTTCGCAACATATTGTAACCAGACAGATGTACCCCACTACGAATCCAGAGGTGACCGTCCTTGCCTCTGTAGGACTTATTATTATGCTCAGGTTAGATTTGCAAGTACGCAAAAATAAACTTGCGAGCACAACAACATCCACAGTCCTGCTCTAACTAAAGTGGTCTGGAAGGGCGCTTTTGAGAGACCTAATACATCCTACAGTCTGACCTTGTCGGCCAAAGAGCCGAACTCTCTAAAACTTGGGATGAATTCACAAAATCAAGTTGGCTTGTCATTGATTACATTTTTCCTTGTTCAGTGGTGATAGATCGGAGTCAAACGAAGTACCTTCAGTAAAACAATGTGGCATGAATAGGGATGAGAAATTCCTATGACCAACGCCAACTGTGATAGTAAGGTACACAAATCGAACAAATGGGTCTGCTGATAACTGCAATATTTGAAGCTTACGCGAAGCGCAAGCGCCTATCCGAGCACCTCAGCCGAAATTTGCGGGATTCTTCTTTATTCGCACGGAAGCGGGAGGAATTCAGGACTATTGCGAGCACATTAACGGCAGTGCAAAGGCGACATGTGCCCCGGCATTCCATACTCAGTACTCTGTCGCCTTTCTTGAAAATGGGTCTTGTGCCAGCGTTGCTTCAATCTGTTTCTCAATTATAGGCAGAATGGTATTACCGAAAAAGACAAGGGAGACTGGAATGACCGTTTCTGGCATATTAGCCGTCGTCAGCCAGTCATACTCAACCCCGAAGTGTGGAATTCCTGGGGCTCGAACTCGCGACCTATTATTTGAGAGTTCAGCGCCTCTAACCACTGAGCCACGGGCCCGTTGTCTTGTCGATTGCGATCCGGAATATACAGTGATAGAGGGGCGCTCACTGATCGTTTTTACGAAACTCACTCGTCCCGTTGTGCTCTAGGGCTCACTCTCGAGCCCATCCAGCAATCACACAGCGGCTCATGATATAGGCAGACTGGTGTTACCAACAAAGACAAGGGGGACCGGAATGGCAATTTCTGGCTTATTAGCCGTTGTGCGGCTGCTGGTTGGGCTCGAGAGAGGGAAAGAAAGCCCTAAGACAACGAGACAAGTGAGTTCCGTAAAAACGATCGGTGAGCGCCCCTCTACCATTTTTTTCTCCATTATTTACCTGAAGTTGTTATAGTTGTCCTGCCGGTATCATCCAACAGCACTCGCATATTTCCGCTGAAGGGCCAGACCCATCAAATACCTCGCCTTCCATTTCGTCACCCGAACCAAGAATCTCCTCGTCAGATAATTGTTTGTAGTCGCATTCTGCTTGAGCGTCAGACCGTCCCTAAAATGAACATCAGTGAAGGGTTTTACCTGCTACTTCTAGAGGCCAGACACCCTTCGTAGACCGACCATACCGTCCCCTTTTGCGATTCCAGCCGTCGTTAACCTAAATCACACACACTAGTATACATGGGAATCCCCATTCGGCGTATTATTATCCTTCAGTCTTAAGGCAATACAGCACACCAAAAGCAACGTGGCCTAATTGTTCGTCCATTACGAGCGCGGATTTGTGGAGATAGGGTGCCTCTGTGTCGATCTAACCCCGCCCCCTCTTCCGCTTCAGTTCAGTTTTTCATCCCGTCGATTGACCGGTGATGAGATTGAATGCGGTGCCTAACGAGGAGTGGACCTCTATTTGACGCGTGCCACATGTGTGCGCGGCAATAGTTAAGAACTAAAGCAGATACAGCGCAAATTTACTGATGCACGCCATTGGCTAGTATGGTTCTGCTTGGGTCTATTGACATTGTTTCCCAGTCCCCGTAGGGTGTGCTTGGGAGAGCACAGAACCACGAGAACGCAGAAGTGCAATCCTCTTTGACATCGTTCTTTCAACCATACAAAACTGGTCTGATAACTGGAGGCAACTGCCTCAGAAAGTCTAGCAGAGTAGACGGTAACAGCAGCGTGGGAGAAGTGGACGCATCACCCGCTGCCTGGAGCCTTGGTGTTGTTTGAGTCAGCATTCCGCCAGCACTCGAACCAGGGGATCAAGTTAGGTTCACACTGCATGATGCCAATACTGGCATGGTTAGGCTTTAGGGCGTCTTCTTTATTTCTAAGCGCTTTAACTTGCGTATTTGCTATCCGAGCCGCTGCCAGAGACCTGCACATGTCGCTTGTTGGGCCATGCAAGTTCAACGGCTTGATGCAGACCGGTCCTCGTAGTCCTCTGCTCGACCTTTGAACGGATATACAGCCCAAGGGCAGTGACTGCAAGAACTGATCTAACGGGTCTGTGGCGGCTAGCAGGCACAACCGTGTGCTGTCGAGCTCAAAGCAATATGTACTGCTTAACAAACAACTTCTGTATTACATCTAAAATCCCCCTACTTGCGCATGTTTTACTACCCACCGCCTACAGATACGGGATGCAAACGAAGGCGCCGACATCATTATGGTAAAGCCCGGACTGATCTACTTGGACATACTTTCATGCATCCGCCGTGAGGTAGATTTCCTTCTTGACTTCCCATCGCATTTTCCGGTCTTATGCTCTTGTCGTTGCGAAGGTGATAGGATCGCTGAAATAAAAGCTTTATTAGCCTGACGTGATGCACTTGGGAGCTGCTAACTGTGATAGGCATGTAGTGGCCTAGCAACTACGTCCGCGACACCTGGGCAATCCACTACCCTTATCTGACCCTGTCTCTGATGATGTATTCGAGTGAGAATCCGAAACGCTAGGCCAGTAAAGCTTTTGTTCCAGCGATTGTGTCTCCTTCGCGACTACTTCCTGGAACTCGCCTCTTCATTTCTATTAGCTCCAGTCGTCTTCCATTGAGTCCTTTCACTATTCATCCCTCCGTTTCTGTCTTTAACAAGAGTGATAACGACTGTTTCATTTTTTAAGCAATTATAATTTACACTACAAGCATACTTTACTGACCGCAAACTCCCTCATGTTACCAGTTGCCCTACCATCCCCTGGCAGTATTTCATGTGTCTGGGGAATACGCGATGTTGGTGACCGCCGCTAAAGAAGGCTACATCGACCTTAAACGAGCCGCCCTAGAAGTGATGCTTTCTTTCCGACGTGCTGGTTAGTTCTATTTATCAATTCACATCTTCTCCCTTCATTTAACGCCTCTCTGGACTCTAGCTCCCGTTCTGCACTATTGAATAAATGTAGTGTCGTGTCTACAACGAAATTTTTCCAACTTTAGCGTCAATCGCATTTTACCACCACCCCTTTTCTGTGACGGCTCGGATTCCTAAGATCTTGGCTTCTGGCGAGGATGATAGTGCAAACTAATCTCTTTTGATTGTACAAGGTCGACTGCACTTGGAACAGTAACAAGTATTTTGAAACAGATGAGGACATGGCCCTGCCAACCGGTATTGCCACTTTGGGCACCATACATCGACCTGTTATCACATGTTCATTTACAACGTCCTGGTTGAGTTGGCATAATCTATGGGACTGGCTGCAGGCCTATAGTTAGCTTGCTGTCCATCTTCGCCAGTAGGCTAAGGTTACGGAGCGCGTCAGTTCCTCCAGATAACGCACTATGGACGACAATTTGCCTGTCGGTTCTGCTTTATGAGGTAAATTTTTGTAGCGCAAACCGATCCAAAATAACCTTGTTTTTCAGTTTGGTTTTCCGTGATATGTCATTTGCATTCACACGAATAGGCAGAGCGCTCAAAAATGTACACTATATCCGTTTCAAGGTAACTTTATTTTTACTTCGAATGCTCACCCGGCCAATCTTTTGATATGTACCGGTCGCGAAGAGAGAAAGTGAGACTGACACTGGAGAGTCCATCTCCGCGGCAAATCAGGACATTTCTCGCTTAAATCTATCCTGATGCGTTAACGGTCATGGATTGGAGGGTTGCCAACTGGCAGCATAACTCGGTCCGCGTGGTTAGTACTGTCCGTGTATGTGGGTCGACTGACTGGCGGACTGAGTAGGGCTCGACGGATCTTTTTTACCACGACCTTTATGGTACTCTCATGTATGTGAAATCCGAACCCTTCATTGCATTTAAGAGCACGCATCCCACGCGTAAGTGGGAAACATGTTCGTTGATGTACAGTAGGTGGACTATTTCGTGAAACATTAACCGAAATTCTGAAATTTGTTTTTGGTCATAAAAGATTACTCAGGTAGGTTTGTAGCACTGATTATCGTGAATCATAATCCCGAAATATTTCATTCACTCCAGGATACCGGCTTTTAAATGAGCTTCTTTTCAGCGTAAAGTTTTCCCATTGATTTTCGATATCCTTATGAATTCATCTGTATTTTACAGAAAACATGCACATATGTATTCTTTCTTGTGGTCACCCGGTAACGAATTATGTCTTCGTATTTTACACTTGAAGAAAGCGTATCTTCCGGGTTTAACAGAAGTTTCCAATTGATTGTGTTTGTCAATGCTGCTTGTGAAGTGAGTAACGCGGCTCACATCCACTGCAAAATTTCATGGGCCCTGTGTGATATCTTAATAGCGTAGAAAAATAGGTGATTTTATTTCATACGGGAAGTATATGACGTGGAATTTTGAAATCCTAAGTGCAAGCGCAGCTGCAGGTTGATTTAAAAATTATTCCAGAATTGTAAAATCTTTCGAATCTGAAATGCACCCTTTCTTGGAGTGTAAAATTTGAAGAATACCAAGTGAGTATAAAAGAGAATATTTTTTTGTTTTATATGAAATATATTTGGATTTACAAGGGCAACGAAAAGCGGTGGGAAAGTTCATACTTTTTAGGTAGTCACATTTTACCAGATGTGATTTATGCCGGCCGTCGAAAAGAAGCTAATTCAAAAACCGGCATCCTGGAGTGACTGAAACATTTTGGGATCATGCCGCATAATAATCGGTCTTACAAACCTACCTAAGTAATCCATTCTAATCGATAGCAAATTTCAGAATTTCGGTTAACATTTCATGAGATAGCTCACCCGGGTGACCAGGTCGCGTACGACACGTAGATGGGCTGTCCAAGCCCCCTCAGCCACTGCGCCCTATCCCACCATCAGATGGTCGACAGGCTCGGACCGTCGACTAGTGCATGGGAGAGAGTGAAGTCGGCACTGGAAAATTCGTCCCCACGACACTTCAGCGCATTTCTTACTATAATAAATCTGACACGCTTCGGATAAGTCGGTCCTCGTGGTCAGTACTGTGGCTGTGCTTAAGGACTGAGAGTCGCAATGGCTCCTAAGCGTGGCCTCCATGGCAATCACGCCCGGGAGCCCAACCTTCCCCTTCATTCTGGAGGATCAGGTCGTGTGCGGCACGCGTAGATAGGCCGTTTAGCTTTGTCGCCCGATGTGCCCTAGTTCATCTCCGGTCGTATTGACATTGTCCTGCCGTCGTAACCTGGTGGGGGAGGAAGGAGAGAGTGCGGTAGGTGCGGCGAAAGTCTGCCTCACTACAAACTAAATCATGCACAACTTACCAGTGATGCGCCGACTCTGTAGGGCACACGGTGTACGTTGTCGCTTGCGACAGTCGAAAGCTCGCTGGTCCCAAACTTCTGCTATTGCAACACTGTCAGAGATTAAGATGTTGCGTCTATGCCGACGATGATTTGTAGGGACAGGATTGTCATGTTTAAAAATGAAACCCAGCTCAGTCGAGATGTATCCTGTTGCGTTTGGACTAGATTGGCCTATTCCGCGCTCGACAGTTTCCCACTATGCTTTAGCGCTACCTAAAGTGCAGGTGCACGGACTGACACAGGATAGAAGTAGAAGACGAGTGGCGAGGTGAAATTGTGAAAAGTCACTTCGGTCATCTTTGCGTCATGTCGGGCTTTTTTTCACGGTTGCTGGTAATATTGTCCCCAGTGTCATTTAGTTAGAACTAGTGACATAAGTGCCTCCATGTATTTATAATTCAATTTTGACCATTTCGCTGACCATCTTTTTCGGCCGCTATGACACTTTGTCAGGCGTTTCACCATGGTAAATGCATTGGGTGGATTAAGTCCATGCACAGCACAGTAGAAGGTGCGCGCTTAGTTCGTTTTTCTCCGACCTGCATATATACCACCGGTATCTTCCCTGTTTTAAATTGTGCAGGTGCCTCCATAATCATCACGTACTTGACACCCATCCTTCTGGACATGAATCTTCAAGATGCTTGCCCTTGACCGATGGGCCGGTTGTCGTAGAATCATCGCCTCTTCCGTGAAGGATTTTCGTCAGTTAATGTATTTCAATTACAACGTGGCGTTTTTTTATACCCCATTTTACGTGTACAGAAGAAGGTGACACTGTTTTGAGACAAATTTTGTCTATTGTTTTACTTCTCCTGGAGGTGACTTACGGGTGATGAGACCCAAGCATTATTGACCCTCTTCGTTGACCTCAGAGAATACTGAATAACGTTAGACTCCCGGAGAACTGAGAATACCAGTTTAGTATAGTATAGTATAATTAGGGTAATAGACAGTGCCCTCGATGACCATATCGAGAACGGTACACAGAATAAAAATATTACTAGGATGTTGCCGGTAACGTATTCATTTACAGAAACATGTTTTGGTAGTGTAGAACTGCAGCTCGAACACCAGCAGTTTTTTTTTCGAGGGTTACGGGCCAGCGGCAGATGGTCCTTTTCATCTACAGTTGAGATTATAGATGCAGTTATATACACTCAGCACAAAATATAGTCATTTGTGCAACTTACGGGAGGAAATTGCATCAAAAGTGCAGGGATGCGTTACATACGAAGTGAAGTCAGGAAGAAAAGTTCATGGCTGACCGTTGATAGTCCTGCAGCGAGTCGTCATTTATCAAAAATCAAACGATCCAACTGCCCTTTAAATACAATCATTGTGTCGGATTTCGCTATTTCACTTTAGAGCGAGTTCCACGGTCGAACTGCACGCTGACCGAATGAAAACTTTCGATGGTCTAGACCTGTACGCTCCCGTTTGACCTCGTACGGATGACCGCGCAGGTGACTCACATTCGTGAACTCAAAGAAATCTTCAGATTTGAATGGACAATCATGTCCACGGACAATGCAGAATGTCCATAACAGGTGACACCTCATTTGTCTATAGGATAGGGGGAACAAATTAAGCTGGGTCAGTCATTCTGGATATGACAGTGTCCTAAGACTCCGCGGCCGACGAAGATGGGCGGGATTCAGGTCACGGTGACATGCGGGTCGGATGCAGCCACACAGGCGGCATTGGTGGGCCAGGCATCAAACAAAGTGCGCCATAAAAAGGAAAACTGTGTGCACGACTGCTCAGTCTCTGAAGATGGGTAGAAGAAGCGACTACCCGAAACGTCAGACCTCAAATACACCTCTCCCGGTGAACGCCTCCTCTTCTTTTGATATGCCACCTGGGAATCGCATTTTCACTACAATTGATGTGAATTACGGGCGCGAAGCGCTTCAACTAGTCCTAAGACTGTCCAGTTTTGTCGCCGGTCATTGCACCTGCTCGATAGCATCACTGTCTTTCTTCATCCAGGGCATCCATGCAAGCATTTCGTATTCCAAATGCGGTATGACGAACGTACCAAATATCTGCGCGAAGGGTTGAGGAGGAAAGACTATGAAGCCACGCCTAATCTAGTGCATGATGCTGATTACCCTTTGGACGGCTCTTTTGCAGTGCTCGGAGGGCAGCAAGTTTGAACTTTCCCAGGCATCTGGGTCTTTGTGCGCGTCCACTTCTTTCAGTGGAACCCCATTTATGGTGTACTGGTGTTTTGGAGAGCGCCTCCGACCCGATTCTAAGCGCAAGACTACACATTTGGATACATTAGACGCTAGGACCCACACGCTGGACAATGAAGCCAATTCATCGACATCTTGTAGTTTCTGCGCGTTGTCAACACAGCTTACCGTTTTCCAGATAATGATATCACCTACAGTTCAGTCGTTTGCATAAATAATGAAGAGTAAATGACCCAGGACTGAACCCTGCGGAACACCGCTTCGTACTGGCACCCATTTGAATGCAGTGGTACCAACAATTCCTCTTTGAAGACTGCATGATAGGAAACTTTTAATCCATTTAAAAATGTTGCCCTCTCAAATCTTCTGTAGGAGTCCTCCATGAGGGACGCTATCAAACGCTCTTTGAAATCGTAGAAGACATCCGCTGAACGGCCCCGGTCTGTGACTTTTGTCCATTTTTCTTGCGAGTAAAGACTACTCGTAAGACATGGGTGACCACGATAAAGTCAATGCTGAGCAGCAAACATTAGGTTTCTCTGCTGCAGATACGTCATTAAATGTCCCTTAATAAGTCCTTCCATGGTCTTGCACAAAATGTAGGTTGAACTAATAGGATGATAATTTTCGGGCTCCGGTCTGAACCCTCCTTTGAAGATTGGAGAGATAAGGGCAGTTCGCCTTCTTCTATGGCCTTTTGAAACATCATGGACACCGGCCCACACAGTACGTCAGCCAAATCTCGAAGGATAAGTGGATGAATTCTGTCTACACCAGGCGATTTGGTAGGCTTTACTCGGCGTAGTTCGGTCCTTATCAACGTGGGCGAGAAGTAAATATTGTCTTCTAACGCAAACGATGAAGGATTTTGTTGTTTATCTTGGTAAGGGACAGGAGGGGATTTGTTTTATGAGTGAATACCGACTGAAGGAAACTTGAGAAGACTGATGTTTTCATGTGGTCATCCGTCTCAATTACTCCGCTTAGGAACCTCAGCGCCGAAATGGGGTCCCGATTTTTTTTGATGTTACGTATGTAACCGTAGAGAATTTCAGGGTGCTTCAAAGAGTTTTGCAATATGCATAGCTCATAGTTCCTTCGAAGTCTATTAGCCTAATCTTTACACACATTCCGCTGTCGCCTGTATTCCTGCAGGTGTTCGGAATTCTTCATTAGTCGATAATGTCTCCGCACCTCATTTCTCCTCTTAAACATGATTTGTAGTTTCGGTTTATCCAACGTGGACGGTTGCTTGTTTCCTTTCATCTGAGTAGACAGGTTAGATTCTTTTAACCAGTGAGCTGAACGTTCTCCGCTAGTCGTTAACTATTCCCTGCAATGTGATTGTCCACGGTATTGCCGACACTTGCGTTCTTATACTTGAAAAATCTGCCTTCCAGATATTTGTTTCTAGTTGTCCAGGTAAATAAGGTTGGGAGAACATGGAGTACTCGAAGAGCATCACAATATGATCACTAGCACTGATTGGCGGGAGATCTTGTACATCCAGCACATCCCTCATCTAGAGTGAGCACCAGGTCAAGGCAATTTGAACGTTTCCCTTCCCTAACACGTGTTCCGAGAGTTAAATTCTGGAAAAGTACTTTGTTCATTGCCAATTCAAGCAAGTGTTGCCCGAATGTGTCCGATGGACCCAAACCGTCCAAGCTTGCCAGTCAATATTAGGGGCGTTCAAGTTCTCATCAATAAGGACCTGCCTATTCAGGCAGGTCTTGTTGAGTTCCGTTAGGAGAAGGCTATCGTGTTCGGCATTCTGGCTTGAGGGACGGCATACAACTGCAAACGCCAACGGCGGGCGTACTTAGTGGAGATAGTTGAAGATAAGAATTCCACTTTCGCTGTTGTTGTGGGATGTTGCTCAGCGACCGCGGTTAGATTGCAGCTAACGTAGACAGCGACCCCTCCTCGGCATTTCCTGTCTTCTCAGTTAATGACCTCTGAGGAATAGCTCATGATCTGCAATAGCTTAAGAAAGCCATGTTTCTTCCAAAGCAATGATATCTGGCGTGTGCTCGTCGACCAGAGTCCTGAGTTCATCCATCTTGTCAAACACGCTCCGTACATTCGAGTACACCACCTTTAGTGTCCGTCTTCTCTGAGGTTACCAGCCCTGATTACAGAGGAGGTTAGCCACAGGAACGATTGCTTGATCTGTATTATCTTCCCTCTCTTTATTTTCAACCCCTTCATCCCCTCTTCTGTGTTCTTCAGCTCTGTCCAGAGCTCCCTCATCTTGTGTCATACTGTCAGTTCGTGATCCGGCTGAAAAACACACCTTATGCGAAGGACGAAGAGCCAACCTGGGCTTCATTTGCAAGAATAATTCTGAGAGGCCCCGGTGGTGACAGTCCGTGCGACGCACCTACATTTTCTTGACGGAAGGCTTTGTGCACAACAACACATACTCCGTCCTGAAGGATGGCATTTGAATATGCTCGAAAGAGGTTGAGACCATGTTTGGTCCTTTCTTTTGCAGTGGAAGAAGTGGACCCGGGAACTTTCTGCCTCTGATAATTTGACATTTTAGGTAGATTGGTCGATTGTTTCATATAATCTTGTAGTTATGTATGGTCGTAATATAGCTTCATATGTTCTGACGGACAACAGATATGTAGAGCTTCAGTGGCAAAACATACGAGCAGATAAAAGGGACGCCCAATATCCAGCCTAGTTGCAGAAATGATCTTACAAGAGCTGGATGAAGTTGCTTTCAACTTCCACGAACCTGCGGCTTGGCACTGATATGTGGATCTTACGTTCGCTGTGATTAAAAAAGCGGACTATTAGACTTTCAAGACCTGCTTAACAGGATATTCGCCGACATTCGGTTTACAAGAAAAGAAGCGAATTCCTAGCAGTTGCCTTTCCTCGACGTCCTTGTCACACGCATACCTATTGGAAGACTTAGCACCACGGTATATGGAAAGGCAACTAACACAACCAAGATTCTCAATTATCATAGAAACCACCCGGTGACGCATAAACGCGGCTGTGTTAGATCGCTCTCGCAAAGGGTAAAAACGCATTGCAGTGGACTGTAGGGACGAATACGGGAATCTAAGAGTACGACAAAAACCTAAGTATATTGACTGGGAAATCGTAAATGTTCGGAACTCATCCCTCTGGAGACAGCCAAAAACACTGAGCATAGTGAACAACCAGATTATGAAAAAGAACGCCCCTATCTGCCAAACCGACCAGAGAAAACGACGGTCAACACATTAACGCTCAGTTCGATCAAACAACAGTAGGATCGAAAGGGGACGATGGACTGGAAAACTTGCACGAAATATCTAACAACTTCGACCTAAAAATCGTTCAAAAATCTGCCCGGCCTAAACTCCGTTTTATTTATGCAAATGCTCAGAGTTTGTTCGAGGGGCTAGATGAGCCTAAAGTGTGGATATCAGATGCGCATCCAGATGTCATTTT